ATTTATTCTGCTTACTGCTGATTACTTTTCATATTTCGCTTTTACGGTCCAAATCCCGCTGCGTATTAAGTCAAAAACATGACAGATCTCCTAAAGATGTAAACCTGGCGCATCCTCCAATTGTTCGAATATAGTTTCTGCGTTGGGCCATAAATATCTCCTTGTGGATGGTTAGCCATCACGGTCTTTCAAATATTTTGTTATTAACATATTTATTCCCATAGGCATATAGGAGAACATACAGGGAGTTAAAAATACATACATACATACCTGCTATAAAGCTTTTAGATTTTTTTAAAATAACGTTCTGATTAAGTTGATGAAATGATGAAAAATAATCACATCATACAAATATTAATTATTACAAATGCCATCAAACTCATTAAATTAATAATTTTGGAGCCATATATATTTCCTAAGTAAGTATCCAAACTCCATCTGTATGGAAACTTGCACCCTAAAATTTTAATCAATCAAGAACTAATAAAATGCAATTTTTACATTTTGTGAAACTCGATAATCTATCAGTGTATCAATTCATAAAATAAAAACTGAAAAAAAAATTAATCCCATTTTATTTCGCAAAAAAGACCCCCTATGACCTTTAAGCGAATTTTAAAAAGTTGCACATAAAATACTGAATGCTCATTTGGGAATCACCTGAAAAAGTTTTTAAGAATTATTAAAATCAAGATATGATATTTTCTTTTATATTCAGATTCTTAAAATAAATATTTGATCGTTGTCAAGAGATGAGGAAATCTCTGGGTAAATCCGTTTCGACCAACGTGACTCTTTTCACGTCGAGCAGACACGTAGATCGAATGCGCCAGGCCTTTTCGCATCGTTTCTTAAAGTTGCGCCAGAGTTGCACCACGTCAAGCAAATTATCGAAAACATTACTGAAATGAACAAATTAGGTAGATTCCGAAGTCCATGCGCGTCAATTTAAAAAAGTCGAGATAACAATTATTATTCTTGCGTTCTCCATTACTTGTTGATTGCAGTAAAAAGGGTATCACGGGGTTTAACAATAATAGAAAACTTATAGTATTAATAATGTTTTATTAATTCCAACTACTTATTGGCACAAGAATACTTTCAAATTTGCGTTTTATTGTCATAGTGGTAACTTGTTCCTTCAACCAAGTAGTTTTGCTGTAAAATAAAAATAAAATAAACCCCTCTCACCCCTTTTGTATTCGTGTCAATGTAGAAAATTGCGCTGTTTAGCAATCATTTTTGTATGGCTGCATTTTAATCTTTCGTTGGATTGAGTTTCCTCCACAAGCATTTAATTTATAAATTTTCCGATGTTGTGGGTATCTTTTAATAAATTAATTATATTTTATATTATTATACAAATGTTATACAATAAGTTTAGAAATATTGTGCATCCCTTTCCACCTTTTTTAATAAGCGAACAATTTTCATATAGCTTACTAAAGTTCTGCAATACACAATATATTTGAATTATTTCGACGGACGAACCAGTAGCTTTCCGACGAAAAGTACAACTCAATGATGCAGTCATATTTTCTCCACTTTTGTCCATTTAATTATAAAATTATCATCGCGGTTCTTTAACATATTTGAAAGTAAATATTAGGATGTGTAGAAGACACGAGATTTTAATAAATGCCCTATCATACATACATATTCCTTATTTTGAAAAAAATGCATTCCAATTCAATCTTAAGTAAATAAGTAAATTGGCATTAAAAAATCAGGATCATAGTTAGCAGAGAGTTTTTTTTTATATATTAAAACCTCGTATACCAATTTCCGTTAGTAGATTTTACTGTATACACACTTAGTAAGTATATTATTATGTCCCTTATACATTAATATGTTATATTCATACTGCCATTTTTAAATTAGTACTACTCTTGATAATAAGCCTTATCGGGATTTATGTTTTCGAAAATCTGAACGGTTTATCTTAAAGACGCAAATGGCAAACGTGCGTTAAACTAGTAACAAAGTAAGTTGCAAAAATATGCCGTCCGCGTTGACCTACACGAATCAATCTTTGGGTTTGCATGTAAACGAAGAAATCAACGAATCAGGTGACTATTGCTAATCTCGATTTCTGACATTAAGTCAGTTGATCGCAAAGAGTTAGGTATATATCCAGTATTCTAGGTAGCTGTAGCTAAAACTAACTCCAAGCTGCAAATTATTAACATTATTAACAAGATTTAGGAGAGCGGTGTTTTATGTAAATGTCACATAAAGGTGGGTTCGCAAAGGCTTTCGTTTGTGAGCTACAATGTGTTTGCAATTCGAAGAAGTTTAATTGTCGAAAATACTTTTTTCCAATAATTGACTTTACTCCAATAAATTTAATCAAAAAATAATTTTAGATATAAAACAGATATATCAACTGCTTTTATTTGATGAAATATACATATATAAAAAATATTGAATTTTGGAGAAACTGGTCGTGTGCCGTTTTTCCTTTCAAAAATATTCAGTCCAAACCTCTCGCGTGTGACTAGATGTGTACCAAATTGGATAAAATGGAAAGTAATACTAACATATTTTTTTTAAAAATCTTAGAACTTAACTTATATCTTGGAAACGAAGCTGTTGAGGAGAGAGGTTTAATTGACATTTGTCAAATATCGGATATTTATTAAAAAACATCTTATGCTGTTGCAACGACAATAAAGTAAAGATGTCCATTGTCTTATCCCCAAATACGAAGGAACGAAGCTGTCGAGGAGAGAGGTTTAATTGACATTTATCAAGAATCGGATATTAAGAAACATTTTATAATGTTTCAACGACAATAAAGTAAATATGTTGTTCATTGTCTTATCCCCAAGTAGTTAAAAACTATAAAACTAACAAACGTACTATTCGGTAGCAAGCCAATATCCTAATTAATTTAATTGGCGGTATTCACGTGGCCAACGTGTGGAAATACGTCACACATGGACACTGTGTGCACGGACACCCGCTACGAAAATAGGATTTCTCCCACTATATAATTAGCGAAATTTTTGTTCGGTAGTCCCATGTAAAATTTGCCGTCCTTCGAGTCCCCTCCGTTGGTTGAATGAATAACGTTTCGTGCCATTCAATTAATTGGAGTTCGATTAAAATGAGCCACTATCAGTTTAAAACCAATATGCGTGTGGCATTCCTCAAACATTAATGTGCATCGATACACATACCCAGCAAAGATTAGATAAATCAATTGATAACGCGACGTTAAAATTGTGTTTGACGACGGACTCGGATTGATTTTTAATTGGGGAAAGCGGGCTGCTATTTGCATACTTAAGGCTTGGTACATTGTGCTAAGTTTCTTTAAATTACTTAGTGGTGTAAGGACAAAGTTAAGAGTGGCAAGGTGCACGATATTTCAGTGATAAAAGAGTCAAAATTGCCTTGGTAGTCATGGTGATGAGAAATCAGAAGCCGGAGTTCACTAGGGCGGTATCGATAAGAATTGGTTAGTTAGTTTCGTTGAAATTTGGCGGTTTGGTTTTGGTAAAAATATTTTTCAAGTAATATCGTCGACGTCACAAAAATGTATGTATTCCGTAAAAACGCTGTGAGTGCAGCTTGCAATTGCATCTTAGTCTTTTGGAAGTAGTTAAATTTTCGTTTTTCTATAATCAAGTATTTCGATTAGGGTGGTTCGAACTATAATGGAGAAACCTTAACAGCGTGTTAACCAGACAAAAATGAGTCAAAAATTTTATATAAACTTGGAGTTGTTGAAATATTGCGAAAAATCTTTTTTTTTCTATTTTTTGACGAATGAAACTTCCCTAGTGGGAATATGCCTTCACACTTTACAATAAAACTCTAAAGAGTGTGAGATGAACTTACAGAATATTAACTACGTTTTTTAAGATATATATAAGATAAATACGGTATAACCGTTAACAACGATGGCTGTGTAAAAAAGTACAGATGATATATCTAAAATTTTGAATAGTCTCAAAATTATAGAACGCGGTTTTTATATCGTTTTAATTAACTTATATTCGCATATCATTCAAGCGCCTCTTGTTTACCGTGCATCAGTATAATGTAATAAGATACTTTCTAAACATAATATTGATCAATGTGTGTAGAATCCGGTAGTTTTTCATTATTAAGATACCTTGTGATACTAACGGTTTCAATCTAATAGAAAAATCGTGGCAAATTTTATAATCGATCGAGTTATTGACCCACATAGAACGAAAATAAGTGCAGAAGGAAAATATTTGGCAACAAAATTGAAATCGAACATTTTCGACTTGGTCGGTTGCCATCCGTATATTTTTTGATAAAAATGGAAGAAAGAAGAATTTCACCTTCGATCACGTATAGCTGCGTTTTTCTATGATTAACATAAGATTTAAAAAAATTTAACTAAGTTTTAATTTCTCCAGAAATGTGGAAAGGAGCTTTTTTAATAAGATTGCGGTGATCTTCAATTGTTATTTATATTTACTCATTGCTACTATATAGAGGTTTTGCCTATACTGATACAAAACCCGCTATCAACCAATAAGACCTCCCGACGTTCGGCAAACGAACATGGATGTGAACAGTTGATCAATTCGAGAGGTTTTAGTTTGAACTTGGAATTTTTTCGGCAAGATTTTCTCCAAATCTATCTAGATCCCGTTAGATTTTAATGCCCCCAAATTGTACACACCAAGCTGCACTTTGCTTAACTTTTTCTTTACCAACAGAACTATCTTCACACATTTAAATCGTTTTCTCTCTGAAAATTTAATTAATTACATTTCTGTCAGCGGCTGTGTTAATTTTTGGAGGTCGTCAGGTGGTTGAAATTACTTCCGCATTCGCACATTAAATTCTCAAAATAGGCGAGGCCTTTACTTAGTATCCATATTATTTATTAAGAATTATTGCCTGGGCTTCAAACTGTTAAAAATGTGACACAAGCTTTGGTTCGTAGAGCGGTCATAAATGACAAAAGCGATCAAATTCAAACCGCAAAATGATTGTTTTTATTAATTTTTCAGGAGAACGTGCAAATTATGTCAACAGTCCACATGTCATCGCCATGGTCGGATTACCCGCCCGAGGCAAAACTTATATTTCGAAGAAGCTCTCGCGTTACTTGAATTGGATCGGAATCAACACCAGAGGTGCGTATAATATTTTGGTATTTAATTTTTTCGGGTATCGCAAAAATTATTCTGCTTTTGTCTACGGTGACCCAATTAGTTCATTTAAATGAGAACAGTCACATCGTAATAATAACAAAATAATTTCCTATACTAAACATTATTCTTCTCTCATATCTTTGATTATCTGCAACAAGCTTGCTTATGCGGATGACCTAAAACTATATCACTGCATTAATACCGACACCAGGCAGGTCAACATCAATAATGTCAGTCAGTGTAAGTGTAATGTGGCTCCTTACCACCCCACAAAAACTTCTATAGTCTTTAATTACAGTATGGATGGTACTATCCTCACTAGACTTGCCAGGGTAAAGGATGTGGGGATTTTATTTGACCAGACGTTCTCTTTTGTACCTCACATTACTAAAATGGTTTTCAGTGCATGGCTCGGTGGTATGGTCACCAATATATAACTGCCACGCTCAGTCCATTGAGAGTGTGCAGAGGAAATTACTAAAGTATCTACTGTTCAGGAAGCAGGGTTCCTATCCTGAGCGGGATATTGATCATGATCTTCTACTTTCTACTGAGTAGGTTCGCTGTACTGCGTCTGAACTTATGCAGAGACTTGCAATCTGTATCATTTCTCTACAAGCTAATTACGGAATCGATTGACCGTTTCTTCTGGAACAATTAAGTTTTGGTTAGTTGTGCCGCAACCAGTATCCAGTTTCAAAACCTATACAATATGTGTGTTTCCTTCAACAAAATATACCCTGTAAATATTTCATATGATTTATGTTTAATATTTCCTGTAATTTGGTCATGTTACCTGTTGGAAATAAATTGCTATTATTAATGCGGTTGTCACATTAAAATTTTATTAATTATTAAAATATCTAAGGTAACATATATAAGAAGTATTTAACGTCAAGTATTTATTTATAAGGTATCGAAAGGTATAGTGAATTCGCAACACAAATTTTTACCTTGTCATATTGATAATAATTTTGTGTGTTTGTTTTTTGTGATTATAGGTTTTAAATCAATGAAGTCAAAAGTAGTAAAATTTAATAAAAACTAATAATAATACAACATATACGAATATTCTTTCGCAAAAAAGCTATGGAGAAACTAGTGAATTTTAATCCGGTATGTTTACGGGGGCAAAGTTAAGCTTTTCCTTATGTTGACTAATGACATTCAGAGGTTTTACGAATGCATTGTCTGATCTTCTGTGCATATAGTTAATTGGTTAACAGCGTTTCGAAAATAACATATTTCTTAGATCCTTTGATAGTTTTTCACTAGTTGATTGATATCACAAGTGATTTATCTAATTCGAAAATTTGGAAAAATTTCTTTATTATGACACTTATGCCTTTGGCAACATATGGGAAACTGTTTTTTTATGTTTGATGTTAACAATTTATCAATATTGTTTTATCAATCACATCTGCCCACTTTCTATAGAAAATACGTTTCCCCGGCCTTAGAACTCTCATCGTTTATGAATATTAAAAAGTTATGAATATTGGAAAAAAGAAACACAAAAAACATAAAAATATGAAACTGTGTTATTATACTAGGAAGCTTCAGAATCATCACTCTACCCTGTACGCTATTTTTTGTACATTTTTCATAATTTTATTTAATACTAATAAAAATAAATTTGAAAATACTCAGCTCTTAAAAATATTTTCCTTATTTTGATAAATTGCTTTAAGCAAACTGCGTATATTATACAATACGGGTGGTTTAGCAGACAAATTTCTTAATTTACTACTAATAGATCCGTGCTCTAAAAGTCCTCGATTTTTTGTAATATTTTTAAGTATTTATAAGAATGCATATTTTCATTTATGGAAATTGTAAAATGTCTCTAATCCTTATTGTTTATTTGTTTTTGATCTGTACGGTATCCTTCTTCTACTAAAGTCATAATCTGCGCCAATACTAGCAAAATAACGGGTTTTGAGCTCATATTGTTAGCAATACAAAACAAAGAGGTCAAGAAAACTCGGTGATGTTTAGGGTGCAGGTCCCTTAATAAAATTTTTCGATTTTGCGATCAACCGCGATGCCCTCCTGAAATTAGTCGTGGATATTTTAACCCATATTCTAGAGGTATTTTTTGTGAAGATTTTACTTTGATTATATAAAAATAGAGGACACATATATCATCTGAAGCTAAGTAGTTCAAGATATATGAATTAGAGTTTTCCTTCACAGTTTTCAACTTGGGAGAATACAGAAGGCACGCAACGACCGCCTATCAGAATCACGATTTTTTTCGGGCGGACAATGCTGAAGCTATGGCCATACGGGCGCAATGCTGTACGGAAGCGCTTCAAGACGTTTGTCACTGGCTCGAGTGCGGCGGAGAAGTTGCCGTTTTCGATGCCACGAATTCGACGCAAGAGAGGCGAAAAGTTATACAAGAATATGTAGTGGAGAAGATGGGCTTCAAACTGTTTTACGTCGAATCCATATGCGACGATCCTCAGATTATTGAACAGGTGCGAATGTTCAACAAATGGTTTGGGTTGTGTTTTCCGAAAAAAAAAACATTGTTTTCAGAACATAATGGAGGTAAAGGTGAGTAGCCCTGACTACACCAACATGGACAAAGAAACTGTTTTGGACGATTTTTTAAAAAGAATACAACACTATCAGGAAAAGTACGCGCCGCTGGACGAAGAAAAGGAAAAAGAAGTTTCCTTTATGAAAATATATAATACGGGAGAAAAGGTTGTTGTACACAAGCACGAAGGGCACGTACAAGCTAGGATTGTTTATTATTTAATGAATATTCACATCACGCCGAGAACAATTTATTTAACCAGGGTGAGTGTCTCTCAACCTAACTCTGTTGCATCAGATAGCGTAATTTTCTTTTAGCATGGTGAAAGCGAGCACAACTTGGAAGGCCGCATAGGTGGTGACTCAAACTTGAGCGCTAGAGGCATTCAGTTCGCGAATGCCATCTCGGCATATATTTCGGAACAAAAGATTGAGGGTCTTAGAATTTGGACGTCATGGTTAAAACGTACTATTCAGACTGTCTCTGGTTTAGATGTACCTCAGGAAAGGTGGAAGGCTCTTAATGAGATTGATGCTGTAAGTCATAAATTTGATTTTTAATTCATTATTCTCCTTTTGCCAGCATCACGAAGTAACATCGGTAAACCGCGCTCTACTATGTTTTCTAATACGAGAGGGTAATAAAATGTTAATTCGCAATGACAGCGATCATTAAATAGGGTGGACAATTTAAACGAAAAAGCAGATAATGTCGTTTTTCTCTATTAAAAGTGCTTTTCTATTTCTTCTCGCCCGTGGGTGGAATGAAAACATCCTTTTTCATTTCGGACATTATTTTGTCTAAGGTAGATATTTTTTTTTAATTATTTTAGTTTCCTATGCTTCTCTTTGGTGACCCGATGTGGCCGCGTTTATCCTCGTGCACAAGCCGGTATATTGTGTTTCTGTACTCATTTTTAGAAAACGCAGTTTTACTAATCTAGTTTTTTAGCAACAAATTCGGAAACGCTATTGTAACGGTCAGGCAGGCAGACGACCAAGTCAACTTCTTAGTCGTGTGCCTGCCAACATTGACCATTGACAATCATCATATTGCGCCTATGGCATATGGTTAAGACTACTAAGTTTTACAGTTCAATAATGATTTATCTCTCTCAAATCAAGAGGCAGTGCTGATCATTTTTACGTATAAATTGTGCCACTTTCGTAATTTAACCGACCCAGTATCGTTTTTATATTGAGTGAAGGAACCTTCAAGATTTTCTCTTATAAGCCCCATAGAGGTTTTAATAACAATAGGCATATTTCAGGGCGTCTGTGAAGAAATGACTTACGAAGAAATTAAAGAAAAATATCCTGAAGAGTTTGCATCTAGAGACCAAAACAAGTTTGCATACAGATATCCCAGAGGCGAGAGTTATGAAGACTTGGTAGCTCGGTTAGAGCCCGTAATAATGGAGCTGGAAAGACAAGGGAATGTTTTGGTGGTGTCTCATCAGGCTGTTTTGAGGTGCTTGTTGGCATACTTCTTGGATAAATCCGCAGGTAATTTACGGGCCACAATGCTATTTTTTCCATTCCCCAAAAAAATCTAGGCGTGTTTTATTTATCCAAGATTAATTGTTTCTGAGCTACAACTTATCTTCTGCCCACACTGTCCAATAATTTCATGATTAGGTTTGCTAAAACTAGGAATTAATAGAAACTTTGTTTTTTTGGATTGAAGTGTTGAGTGACAGTTGTTTTATTTATTCCAACTAAACAAGCGCCTAATATTTATGGGTTGACATAGTTCATATTCTAAATACAGATGAGCTATGAGATTCCGGATCGCCTGTTCTGTAACCCTATCAAAGTCAATATCCAAAGGATAGATGAGTCGCAATAGATCCAATCACGTTCAACAGTTAGAAATGTCGAAGCTTTTAGTTTATGCTATGCTGTCACCATAGGTGTAGCTTACCGATGAACACTGAAAATTCATGACAGTCAACAGCCCAAAATACTTTTCATTTGGTAGAATGACGACAAACAGCAAACAACCAAATTCAGCATCCAAATTTGAAATTCCAAAAATCCCAAAGCATCTGTCTCCTCTGATAGGTCAAAATTTTCACGCATCCTAGTAAAAGGAAATATATGTTTGTCGGGTATGTTGAACATTCATGGTCTGGTTTTAAAATATCATGGATTTTCGGTTACGTTGTATTCACTCTTGGCTGCTAATACATAAACACTGAGAAAACTATATTATAGTTATAAATTTATTTGTAATGCTTTGCAGATGAACTACCGTATCTCAAAGTACCTCTTCACACGATAATTAAACTAACCCCCGTCGCATATGGTTGCCGAGTTGAGCACATAAAATTGCCGATTGATGCAGTTGACACCCACCGCGCTAAACCAAAGGTAAATCACTAAATCTAGGAAGATGGTGCATGAAATGTCGCAGACTGTGGTAAATCGTAATCGTTTGAAACCTGTTTCAGGAACCGGGCCAAGTAGTAACCACTGTACTAACACAAGATGTGTCCTAAAAAAAGAACTCGAGTGCTTCTCACTAGGACACTTCTAGATATATTAACCTCTCCAAATAGTTGTGTTCTTATAGATATGTAGATATATTTAAAGTTTTTTTCAAAATTTGTCTCTCTTTCGCTTGATCTGTTTTGTATGTTTCATTGTTTGGGCGTTCTCCTCAATTAATCATTTCTAGTAATACTTAAAATTATTTTGGTACCTAGAAAATTGTTGACATGATTATTAATTTGCGTTTCCTGAGATATTTTTCGTAATTTGCTAGTAGAACTCGCATCTCGAAATTTAAGCACGCAAACAAATAAAGCATAGAGAACTAACCCTTTTTTTATTTCGTTCATCTTGCTCTCTTCTTGTTTTCAATCTAATTTGAAAATTTCTTCTTGCCATTTTAATTACTATACTTTCATGTGAAAAATTCTGTCCAATTCTTCTATGCTTGTACCAAAATTCAAAATTATTTAGAATTGCAATAAGTAACTCGCTTTTAGTAAATGGTGTAATATTAATGATATATATTTTTCAAGGTTCCTGGTGAGCTAGAAGAGAAATTCATTCGCAAAAATACGGTAAAAAACCAAAGCAACTCGACATAAAAAAAATAAATTATTTTGAGAAATGACTGAGTACAGGGTGCCTAAAAAACAACGGACGACCTGTGAGATGTCGATCTTCATTCATGTGATTATATCCATTTAAAATTAAATTTAACGTGTCCAAAGATTGGTTTTTAGGAGATAAAACAATTGAAGTCAGCGTTGTGTTTGTAAAACAGAATTTGAAATGTGCAATTTTTCTTGTATTTTTTTGTCCTGTTTTATTTAAAATTAAAATATTGTGAATGCTGCTAAGTGTTTCTATTCTTATGTCTAGTAGGTAGGAATAATATAACTTGAATTGTATATAAATGTTAATATATATTCTATTTTATATAAAGTTGTTTTATTGATTTTATTTTATATAAAATAATCCTTAAAATTCTGCTCAAAATTATTGGTAGCATTTTCTGAGGAGCTTTTGTTATTTTTTATAGTATAATATACATCAAGGTGCACGTGGTGTCTTGAAAAGTTTATCCAACCTGTTGTATACTATACTTTTTTATGACTATTAATTTTTGGGTACAATTTTGCAAAACAATAGGAATACATATACTCAACTCACATGACCGACAGAATCGACAAACATCAACATTCAAGTCCTGGGAAATATCTCCAAAAAATATCGCGGAAAATATCGGAACATGACACTTTCCGGCCACTAGATCAGTATATAATTAAGTGTTTTACAGAAGGGAATAGAAAAAAGTAATTTTGGCTTGCTGAGAGCACCAATTTTTCTCTTTTCAATAAGAGACGTTACATTTCGAAACAATTTATTTTCAAAATAATACGAAGTCGGGGTGATACTGAAGTTTGAAATTCACCCAGGAATAATTACAAAATTATATATTTATATATATATATATATACATTTTATAAAAGTAATGACGTTTTGGTACAAAATATCTTAAAATTTCTCTTGGAATAAGAGCGAACAAATAAATAATTACACAAAAATATACAAATTAACAACAAATCTATCTCTCTCTGTACCACCTCCCCCTCGGTTTGCGCAACATTCTCGGAGATTTTGGTGACCCTAGTACTCGTCTCTGCCGTTTAGAAGTCCTTTTCGATGACACTTTCAACTTCACATCAGCAATTCTCTCACTATCTAACTTCTTAACATAAACAAATGGCTGCAAGTCAGTATTTAACACTTTACTCTTAAATTCGTTTCTTTGCACCTTTACTGGCAGACCAGGAACACGTTTTGATTCATTTTCCTTTGAACTAATATTAGTAATACTGTCATTGGATTCTGATTCCTCATCAGAATCTTGATTAACACTGGCGGATTCAACTGCACTGTCATTGTCTTCTTTCAATTGTTTCCTTCTCTTGGACTTATTTGGACTTGGCCAGCCCGTCTTGTTCTTCTTTCTTTTTCCCGGCTTTCTACCAGGAGTACCGTTGAAGAATCGTCTGCAAGCATACTCGGACTCTTTCCTTCTTGATTCCTCATACAGTGCGAGTATGTCCATCACACCTATTTTGCCGCTACCTATAACATCTTCGCACGTTTCGTTTGTTTCTAATTCTAAATCAACATCACAGTCCAATGCACTATCCAACTCTTCATCTATTTTTGACGCCACTGCAAAATAGTCAATTGACCTTTTTTTTGTCCTTGGTGCTTTTGGAACAGCAGAAGTGGAACGGGATGGAGGGGGAACAGGTGGAGGAGGCGGTGGGGGCTTTTCCTGCTCTTGCACTGGGTCTTCTTCAGGTATAGTTTGAAGGTTCGTCTCCCCCAATCCATTTTTCGACCTTCGTTTCCGCTGATGTAACAAACTTAAAATTGCTAAAGTTGAAGCATGCTGCCTAGGTGATTTCCTAGGATTTTTACCCGGCGATAAACCTTTTCTTTTACTACTTTTTCTGGATTCAAGGGGAACCAGCTGTTCTGATGTCCCGACTGAACTCGATGAACTCCCTGTTGTGCTGCTTATTTTACTATTATCATCATCAAGTTCCCATTCTGGTGGTGGTATCACAGTATTTTTGAGTTCCGCTTCGCAAGCCAGTGCGTCGTTTGTTTCCGTTTCTTCGTTTGTGGGAATACATTTGAGAAGGTCACGATATGCTGCAATACAGACCTTTGGGTCCAATGCCTTAAGGTGTGGTAACTTATCTGGCATCACGAAATCATTCCAATAATCTGAAAAAAAAAAGACACTTATTTAAGAAAAAAGTGGCTTTCTGCGTAGTACCTAACGCGGAGGGCTACAAGAAGATGGAAGATACGACGATAAAATTTCAGAAATTGATATGAGATCAGATGAGATTCCAACTTCTACAGCCAAACCACAAATATCTGAGAGTAACCCTGGATAAATAATTAAATTGGACCTTTCTAGTACACAATTATTATAAGGTCTATGAAAATCGAAGCATAAGCAATAACATCTATGCAAGAATACTAAAATGAAAGAATTAAAACAGTTTGGTACATCTCCAAGACAATAAGAAGCTGTCACGAGGCATTATTCACGTTAACTTAGACTTCTTAACCTAGTAGATTGGAGAAAAAAAAATAAAGACTGCAAACATTGCTAATAAGTATACATATCGGTTACATCCAGCACAGTCAATCATTATCGCCGATGACAAGTGCGATTGTACTTGCTGATTGTACTCATAGATATAAATTTGTTTTAAACTGTCGAAAGACCAAATTATCGATCTGACTGTTTTATTAAACATAACCCTCGAGTGTTAAATAAACGGCTATAAATATAAATCAAACGTGAAATACGATGAAGGACGTGTGTGCTATGTGCTTTTCCTTTTTAGTTTTGAGTACTTTTTGTCTCTCCTTCCTTTGAAGTTCTTAGTTGCAAATTTTATATATTTTTTAAAACATACACTTAATACATCTGCGGTTAATTTAAATAAAAATAAGGAAATTTTAGCAGGAGACTTTACAATATACCAATCCAAACGAGCTGAGCCCAAAACAAGATTCAAGCGAGGGTAGTAAAGGGTAGATCATGGTATCGCTAAAACGATCTTCACCTGAATACATAAATGATCAACCGATATAACCATATAGTTAGTTGATAATATAGTGGGCCTATTACGGCAAAAATTGTGATGCGTCTCGGGCAGTTATGATATTTTCGCAGAGATATGATAAAATTTTATCCACTGATCTGCATTTTAAGTCATTTTTTATCTAACTTAACATATTTTCACAAAACACCTGTGAAATTGACGAACTCTCAGCGGCCATGTTGGTTACTGAACGCCGCTAGGTCTTCAAATTCAAAAATTCCTTTATTATTAGCATCGGCGGCAGACCTAGTATCTAGCAGGCATATTTATATACATCAGTGTATACAAAGTGAATAGTAATCTGCATTTCGTTTTAGTTCTTAGTGGCTTAAATTCTCATATTGGAAGAAACATTTATTTTTAATGTTCAGTTTAAGCCTTAGGAGTGAGTTATTTAATTTTTTACTGTCGGGTTTCACGAATGCGAACAATTTTAGTTGTTTTTAAAACGCAGAATGACCTCTTTAGTCGAAAACTTTATTACCTTGTCTACTCCTGTCTTGTGGGTATAACTAAAAAAGCCTGGCATCGGTTTTATGAGAAATTCAGACAAATTCTTAGATGGTTGGATAAAGACCAACATGGACCACTCACTCAAACAACTGTCAGTTGTACTTCAACGACTATTAAACCCAATAAGAGGCTTAGGCTCAATACTTTAAACAATAAACAGGTAAAGATGTGGAAAATTATTAAATAAATAATTTTGTCATGTCATGTAAATGTCATGGTTAGAAAGCACTTTAATCACTGTTTCACTAACGATTTTTCGGCTGCTTGAAACAAAACTATTGATTTATCTCCTTATAGTTCTAGTATTTGTTACCAAAATATTTGTTTCACTTGATTCATTTGATAAGATTATCATTTGATAATTATTTAAAAGTAAGATTGCTAAGGTTATGAGTTTTAATTTTTTATCAAAATTTATATAACATAGTGATACCTACAATTAGGGCTAAAGTGATATCTCTGCTCCATCTTGTCATGCCGTATGAAGGTTTGATACCAAGGTTGATTTTGCGGCACAGACTCAAATGAAAACTGATAGTCATCCAGGTTAAGTTCCACATTACTTTCATTCTTAATTATTGTAGCTTCCTCAGGTTCTACTTTGACTGTACAGTCTCCATTCGATTTTAACGTAACAGGCGAAAGATAGGATCCATGATATCGCAACCTGAAAGAACTATAAACAGTTACAAAATTACAGCGAGAGTAATTGAATGGTGTTAATTTTTTACCTGGAACCAGGTGTTTCGAATTTGTAATACTTCTGGTTATCATTGATTAACGCCTCCGCGTGCGTTCGCCTTCGCTTTTTCTTTTTTGATGTTTCAGACACAATGCTATCCATTGAACTCTCTTCTTCCACTTTAAAATTTTTAGGCTTCTTAAAATCTTCATCACTTGTAATCGAAGACTGCCGGGTTTCATTCTGGTCTTCTGACGTGGCCCATGCTTCATCGCCTGTGAAGGCAAAGTTTATAATGCAGTATTTTTCAGCATCTCTTGATTTAAACGCTAATACTCAGGGTTTGCACTTATAATTATGGATTTCCACTATTCATCTATTGCAACAGAAAATGGAAGTGTTATTTATAATAAGAATTTCTTTGCTTTTTTAAATATGAGCATTCCTGCTTTTGGGTGTCGAAATTAGTAATAGGAACAAGTAAAATGTAGGGTGAAGTAAACAGATTAACAACTAACCTAGTTCTTAAATTCAAGGTAACGATACATATATTAATGTGTATGTGAAAAAAATTGTGGCTGCTCAATTTCTCAAGAGCCATTGACTGATTGAATCAACACCAAATGAAAGATGAATGCCAAATGTCAACCCTCAACCCTTTCTAAAACTTTTAATGCAAATACTCTTCCATACTGATGACAGGTAATTGTTTAATTTTAACAGACCTTTAATATGTATTCTGTAAGTAACAGCCTACACTTCATTGAATTCTACAGTAATGATTTAATATTTCACAAATAATTAGTTCACTATTATTTATTAATATAAAACCCACCATCATTTTCTTCATCACTGGATTCGTCTTTTTTGGGAAACAAAAAATTAGTCGCTTCATTGTTTAATTGGACCAACTCAGAATTTCTCAATTTCTTGAACTTGACGATGAGTTTTTCTGATTCAGTCTTTGAAGTGTTTGTATTTTTAATACTATCCCTATCTTTTGAATCTGTAGACCTTAACTTATTCGATAAAACTTCAACTTTATAATAAGTTTTATTATCAGCGACCAGGCGTTCATCGGCCGAGACGCGTTTCTGGCGGTTGATGCAAGATCTTTTTGGCCGACCAGAATTCCACACCTCGGGCTCTTCTTTAATCGGCACAGACGTAAGTTTCTGAAATAGTATAAGTTCGGTTAGCAGGCCAAAGGAAAAAGTTTATAATACCAAATAAACTAACCAAATCATATCAATTATTGATTCAAGAAAATTACGACAGCTTCACAAAATAAGCAAAACTACAAAAGGGGCGAGCAATCAAACAAACAAATAATACAGTAAATATAGCTTAATTATAGCATATAACAGCATGTACTGAGTGTCCAATTTTAGATGTTCTTATGGGAAATTTATTATTGAAGATAGAGAGGTTGACTTATTACTGCGCTACTTTTATGAAGGTGAAGGGCCACACGTAAATTTTTTGATTCTGTAAATAATTTTTTCTACTCCGATTCTAAGATACCCAAATATGCGTATGGAAAGTGTAACCTAGTAGCCTGTTTGGGAGCGATTTAAATTTTAAATTCAAAGTTTTGTCTTTTCCAGATCTTAAATTCGGACCTAATTTTTTTGTATTTTAGTTGTCTTGACGGTTAAATTTTGCATTTTATTTCAGTGGTGTTTTATAATTCCCAGATGGTTGGTACAGAAACTGCAGATGCAATTCAGAATCTCAAAAATTGTGCCACAGGTAGTGTCCAAAACGGCATCATTGTATCTTCAATAATAACGACGTTTCCCCCAACATATCGAAAATGGGGCACCCTGTACATCAAATAGGGATATTTTGTTTAAATGAGTTTGTTTATGCAGTTTTAAGCAATATTCCCTGCATATGAAGTTAAAATATCTAAAAATCAAAATCCTAAAAATTCAAGCAAGGATCAAAACAAAGACATACTTATAACTTTACTTATAACTTATATCATTATATGAATGTAGATGAATAAGAAACAAGTTAAAACTGATTTTTTAAATTTTTTGTTGCAAAAGAGATTGAAACGAAAAAATTACAAGAGTAAAGAATCGGTCAATCAGATAAACACTGATTTTTTATTTCCCCAGTATTTTTGCAGAACATGCTTAAACATTTACTTAAAAAGTGTGACCTAGATAACAACTGGACCCAAAGCCAAGGAGTTTGATCTTGTACAACTTTATTTTTTGAAATGGAAACAATTTTTTATTTTAAAATTAGAGACACCGCCGTATCACGGAAATGCAATATTAAAATTGAATGAATAGGCCTAAGATTAAACAGAGAACTGCAATGCTTTTTCTTATTCTGCTGTCCTTTTTCATAAAACACAGTGATCTGGAGAAGAAATGGTAATATTTTGCAAAACGAGAAAGCAAGGAAAAAACTGTTTCATATTTGAAGTACTTGGAAATAAGTCCACAAAAACAGAAAAGTAAAATTTGTTTACCTTGTAGAAAATTTCTTGAGATCTTACAACTTTTCTTTTATTTGTTACAATTTGAAACTCATTTTTTGTATGTGACGAACCAGAGGAAGTAATAATTCTTATTGTGAATGAAATAACGTCCACTATTTGAGAAAAATAAATAAATCCATTTCCCCTTCAGGTCAAAAATTTCTTACAACAGGTGTTATTCATAGATGCCAAACTCCTAACTACTTACTAAGTAAACAATATCTACAGCAAACTTACGGCCAACGCCCGTGTACTAGACCTCAACTCTCTATACTCTTTATAAACAAGACGTACAGGTGGCTCCAAATCTGGTTTCTCAGTCAAACTATCCTCTTCCAAGGGAGGAGTCATGTAATTAACATTTTTCCTAGACCGCAGGTGATGACCTGCCGTTTCACTGCGAACGGCTGGAATTGGTGATTGCCTCGCTTCAGAAACATTTGATGATTTCTTGTGTTTTGGCATATTTCGACGTTTTACAGTTGGAGAGAAATCATTATCAAACCCTAGAAGATCAAGAACATATGAATTTATTACTGGCTCATGGGGGTCAAAGTTGATAGACAATATTTGAAAAACGGCCAATGGATCGATTTCAAATCATTGCATAAGAGGTGAGTCTGAAGTAGGTAGTTGTCTTACATTTACATAAATGTAGCAACATTTTGCTTAGTTTAAATGACACTTGATCTGGTTTTCCTAGATCTCTCGCCCTTTTTAAAATAAAAATGAATATTATTATAAGTAGTACACTAAGCTTATGACCCTGGTTTAACAGCTTAGAAAAAAGTCAATCAGCTTATAGGTTCGACAGGAAAGAATAGATTTCGGAAGCATTTAATCTAATTGATAAGAATAACTTATGCATGTTTCCACAGGTTCAGGTAATGACATTGAGCTGTATCAATACAGAAATAAAGACAAATTAACTAGTCTGTCACTATACAAAAACTTAATTTATAAAAAGGACGTTCAACTTTTTCGGAAAAAATATCTGCCATAGCAATATGTTAACATTATCTATCTTGCTTCTATTAGTTTCAAACCTCAGAGTAATTTTGTTGCACTTTATATACATATTATTAGTCATAAAAGAAGTTTTAATTCTATTGGCCAATTACATTTCACCATGCATGAACAGCACAAGTTGCACAAATTGTAAGCTAAATATTATTGAAAAAACAGTGCTGAAAAGGCAAATTTCTACGTAACTAATGCAGAATTTTTTAGATTGAGTAAGTCAAGTATAAGCATGTCACACATTCGGTCACCAGCTCTTGCGGTTGGGCAGAATTTTTCCGACTTTTACTCCCCATTAGCTAATTAGCCAAAAATGCTAAACTCTCTGTTCACCTAATTTCGCAATGATCGCGACAGCTCAGCAGTAGCATAACGTAAGTAAGTAATTATTGCCAAAATATCTCCAATGATTCAGATATGTTTTGTTGTGATCAGATATTAAAAAAGACACAGGATGTTATAGTTTCAAATTAAAATTAGACATCTATTGATTTTTTAGAAATTGTCAGATATGATTAGTAGATGACATTAGAAAAAATAATTGGTTGAAGAACCATTTTCAAAACTCTTTCTTTCTTTATTTCAAATAAATTACCTATTGCATCTATTCCAGTCAAACTCAATAATGACTCTAAACCAACATCAGAATGTATATAACCATTCAGCGCTATGTAGTTGGCATCTTCTCCAATTAACTTTTGATGCTTCTTTGACTGTATATGGTCCTCAACGCTGTTGTAAGGAAGATTGCAAATGGCACAATACCCTGATTGAAGAACTTGTATTCTTGGTCGACGGGCTCGGGTCTTACGTGTCATGTTATGGTCATCTGGTATGTTGTGTTGTTCATTTAAATTCCTGTGAGACTGGTTACAACGAAACCTCGATTTTTTCTCAGACAATTCCTGCAATTCAGACAAATTATTAATGTGGTTTAAAAGCTGCTTGAAAGGTAAGAAACAAAAAACTTACCGATTTGGAAAAAAATTTATAATCTTCTGAGATAATGTCCTCAAAATCCGATTTTCTTTTTGTACTTTCCAACATTGCATTGCTACACCATACCTAAACAGAGACAAAATGATTGTCAACTCCAGCTTAGCTCGAGAACCGCAGTAGGCAGCAGGATCGACTGCGCCATGATAGGCATAACAATAACAATGTCAAATCAATATTGAACACTATTGGATATCGTCAGTTGGGCTGACTTAAATCGCAATGGTCTTCGGGGTGAAGCCACGTTGGTATGAAAACAATTGTGCGCCTTATAATCCCATGCGTATTGAGCTATTTACGCGACGGGGTCCAACAGTTACAAAACCAGTAACTTTCCCAAAGTACCGCTGAGGCTTACGGGCATTGGTGATTATTTAATACCGATGAACTTGTATTTATTGTATTTAAGAGGGGTGTAATTTTAATTATCAGTTCACTACAATACCATGCGGAGCTATTTTTATGCATCTCAATTACATAGAAGCTCAGGACGTGTATAATGTGTTTAGTATGTGTATTGAGTTGGGTGCTGTCAAGCAGTTTTATTTTATACAAACATTTATTAATTAATTCTCTTCCAAAAACAATTACTATAAAGACGATAAACTTCCGCATTGCCCGCACATAAAATGCATACGTTTCTGCATTAGTGCAATTCACTATTATTGAATCCAAAACTTTATTGATCAATTAAATTTGTCGTATTTTGCATTCAAACTAACTGCAATATCAATAATAAGAAACGCCTTAAGAAGTGACGGCAGCCTATTGGATTTTTTTATCTAATAATAGTATATTATACACCAAGTGTGGTGAACGGCATTAAAAAGTTTACCAAACGTGTTGCATACTATACTTTCTATGACCGTTAGTTTTTGGGTACCTTTTTGTAAATCAACACGAATATATTACTGACATGACCGTCAGAATTGACAAATGTCAAAATTCAAGCCGTGCGGTAATATCTCCGAAAACATCCGATTGCTCCCAAACCCGTGCGGTAATATCTCGGAAAAGTCCGAAATGGCTGGGGTCCGTGGGAAACGAAACCGACCTGGTAAAATGACACTTTCCGCACGCTAGATCGGTGTATAATGGGGCATTTTACAAAAGAGTAGAAATTTTTTCTCGCTATGCGTTTCTGTAAATTTTATTGTATTTTTTTGGAAACGACAAGTTTCTAACTAAATTACTCCTAGTATCCAAGGCAAAAACAGACAAACATTCTAGTCTGTAAAACTCTATCAAAAACTGTATTGGGTGATGAAATATTACCTTTTTTCTAAAAAAACTATAGGGAATCCAAATTTCAAACATAATATCGGAAATAACCAATGGCGTAGCTGACGGCACAAATTACATAAATACACTCTGGTAGCCACGCCCCTGACTTTCCCAAAAAAACTTATTTGAACTGAATTTTTTTGTCAAGCGTAAATAGCTTTTTCGTTTTCCTTAAATTGAAATCATTCGTATTAATTGACACACGCAAAATCAGCAATTTTCGAATAAATTTGCAAATATCGGAAGTAACATGTAGGCCGATTATTGTCACCAATTGTGCTTTCAAAGTACTCATGTGTGTTTGCAAATTTATAGACTATCCAAGTTAGCGACCCTATGTAAAGCCATGCGGATTTGAGCATGCGTATATTCAAATGATTTCTAATAAGGACCTCTTGGGCGGGAATTTTATTTTTTCTGTGTATTAAAAAATTTGCTATTTACAGGTTCACCATAATATAAATAGAATACACTGTCAGTATTTACTAAAAAGGACAATAAACTAAAAAAAAAACAAACATTATGCGGAGTATAAAGTAAACCAAGAAACTTCACATTGATTGTGGTCCTAACGTTGCCACATTTTTTATCTATGCTTTATTTTTATTCTTATTTATATGTTGACATTTATAGCCAGTTGCATGCATAGATCTATTGCACATAACCATACGATTTTTATACGTCGAACGGGTAGCGGTGAGGTAAATTTCTTTGTAAACCAACCTCACGATCATAGAAGATAGAAAATAAATAAATATTTTATCCATCTAGCTTTAATACCCCCTTATGTAGGTCAACGGAATACTGCAGTTACGAATAATACCGAAATTGCTTAAAGTTAAAAAGTGATGATTTAAAACTTTATTCCAAAAATCGAATCTCAAATAATTATGCATTTGCATTGGTACACTCATAATGTAAACAGCAAAATAAAGCAATGTCTAGACATATCTTATGGAAACCGAATAAGCAATATGAGAACCAAGAGTATTGCAACTCAAAGTACCAACAAAGTGGACTATCGTCATTTGCTTGAGAAATCAATAAATAAACATAAAATGACACTAACATGTATATACAAACCTTTATAAAGCAAACTATATTTCACAGACACAGGTATACGATCCGGTTTTATTTCGGAAACATCGTTTTTCAACTCGTCCCACGGGCAGAAATAAATTTTTGATCAAGCATAAATAATTCTAAATCACTTTAAACTGGAAAAGCCACGTTAAACAGCAACTCACTGTTTCACAATTAAGCGGTTAATGCCTGGAACAACAGCCAAGCGCGGTGGGTATAGAAAATGAAGCCAACAAGGCGGTAGCTTGCATTCAACGAAACTGTTTAAACACGGCCATTGTAATTGCATCGCTTTTACACACCTTTAAGAGCAAACCAACCCATTTGCCATTATCAATAAAAAATGACCAAACAGAAGGATAAATTTCTAAATAGAAAACATAATTTAACGACGATAGTTGCATGAAAGTCGAACTTTACACATTTTCAAAACATTCACTTCTCCGCTACTACCCAAATATGCAAGGGAGCTTTGAAACACAACTGGTTAACGGTGTTGCCAAGTTATGTACTTTTGTTAACTGGATTGACTTTAGACGTTACCCAGCCTTTTAAAATGCATTGTTATTGGAACATGGTCAAAAAGCCTTTAAGAAAATCCTAAGTTTTAGATTTTCTTTCTGATCCGCTTAAATTTTTAATGATTTTTGTAAAGCAATCGTAGACCTGACAAGCTGTTTAAAAGGGGATTCCAAAAATTTGGCATCTATGTTGGGAAACTTGGAAGGAGAATCATTTCGCAGAAACATTGTTGGTACATACCCATTACATCTTTACGGAAACCAACCAATCTGTACGCTACGATGATAAGAATAATGATCTATAATATTTAATAAGACCGTTCGCCCAATTTCATATTGGATGTTTTTGTTTTAATATCTTTGGCGGAACTACAGTACCATTCGCATGATTTAATCTTTTTTTTTTTAAAGTTGGTGCTACCTATGTAAGTTTTGTAATTCATTCTAATTAAAAAAAATCGATTTTCTTACTGTCCATATCCCAAGTCTTATCTTGTTTTACTGTCTTTACTTAAGTAAGCTGTGCTGCAGTAATGGCTGAGAACTTTCTGTATTACTTTTGGGTCTACTTCCACACCTCAGATTTGTACCAATTTATCCAGGTACTGGTAACTCAAACAGTGGTTCCTACGCAATATTTGTGTTATCAAAAAATTTATTCTCAAAACAATATTACACGAGAAAAACCTAGATTAAATAAATATAATAAAATTTTGTTTGCAAAATTAAATAAGTTTCACATAATAAATAATAAATGTCTTTTACATGTTACAAATCAACATTTTACATAAAAAACTTGACACGAAAAAACCTACCAAATATACAGCAACTATCTAAAAAACTAAAATGTCAGTTACTGGGCTAACTGAAGTATTATGTCATAGCGAAAGCAGCATCCCAAAGAAACGTGTTCTTCAGGTGCGCTTTTCACATTCGCCAAAACAGGTATGATATGTTAACAAATAAATGCTATATCAAATGACAAATGCTTCAGTCAATGAAATCAGTCCCGAAATTTTTCAGTCAACTTCTAAAAATATGTGAGTGTTTGCAAGGTGTTGTTAACTCTTGAGATCCGCAAATTGATGATAACTACAATAACTAGAAGTTCAGATGCCAAAAGAATGAAAATCAAATATGTTTATGTAATGAAGTCTATGAATCCCTAATACATTTTTGTTGAGTGATTGGCTGGCTCAAAGAAATCATTCTAAAACCAGAATAATTAATACCCATTACACACAATCATTAAAGTGTTTACAATGAAAATAAAGTAAGGTTACATCAGTTCAAAATAAAATCATTATTGCTTTCCTATAACTGGGTAGCAGAAAGATGTGCCCAGATAAAAAAAAAATAATACTAAGAACTTAAATCAATTTCCCAAGCTTTAAACCATTTCACGATAGATATATCCACTTGTAATTTCAAACCATTTGATAAAAATATTTTTTGGCGAATGTGTTCTAAAATTAAAAAAACTTAAAACAATAAAGCAAAACTTAAATTTATTCAACATTTGGTTAATATTTTGTACCTTATTTTTTTTTAACAGTAGTAAATTCATCTGCTCACAATTGGGTAGTTAGGAAAATTTCTTAGCCTAAAACATTAGCATTTTGCAATTTCTTTAATGCTGGTATGGCTGGCTCCCTTATCACATATAGAGGTCGTGCAATTTTATTAACCCTATCTCGCACATTTTAGTGCTGCGTGCTATAAGAAAAGCGGTGGAGAGACAAAACAAATTTAAATATTTGTTATATCAATCGAATCTGGGGCTATATAATCATTAAAGTTTGATCGCAATCCATAGAAAGTCTTTAAAATCACAGCCTCAATGTAAATTGATTCCAACACTCAAATATCGCGCTAAAAATAGGCAAATCAGTCAATTGTTGTTTCAATACTTGCAATTTAGTACCAAAGTACCCTTTTGTGTCCGCATTAAAACATTTTTATACCAAACGTACCTTCTTCATAATAAAACCAACTTATGTCTCAATTGTTTCTTTGCAAGCGATCAGAACAAAATGCTTAAAAAACTCCATGGAAAGTTATAGCAAATTATGTATATATAAAACCAGAATAAAGAATTTGCATTGGACGAAGTTATTTATTTCATAAGTATCTAACCAAAACTACAATTGGCTCAAGCAAATAATAAAATTTTGGACGTTTGCATATTTGCTTCTTCCGGCAATAATCGTATTAACCTATATAGAACTAATGATTATACTTTGATCTGTTACTGAGGATGAATCGCATTAAAGAAACTACAAAAAACTGAAGAGTGCATCTACAGATGTACTCAATAAAGTTCTATTTAGTCAGGTCCTTATCTGTTGCGGATCTTCTACTTTTCACTATACTGTTACTGGTTCCATAGTGCGCTTTCAAAATTATCATTGGCATAAAAGTGATAAAACTTATACCGATTTAACATACAACAAAATGAAGCCGACTAAATAGAGTGTCATTCATTGCCCCGGGTGCGGATGCGGCGGTATTTTTAAAATATCATTTTATCGTCAACACACGTATGTATTATTCGATAAGGCGTATAAAGTCAGCCAAGAAAATTGTTCCGCCAGCGAAAATCTTAGAAAAATACTCTTTCCTTTCTATGGAAGAACTACGATTGTATATTTTGCTGGTCTATTTAAGTCGCTTAACAACGTGGACAAATCGAAAATAAGGTTGATTAGGTGTGAAAGATCGCGGATATAGTGACGGTGTTTAATAGACAATTTTGTCAATGTCGTCAAGCGGCCTTAACAATTTTATACCCTCATAAAAAAATCGTTTTTAACGGTATATGACCAGGCTGATTTCACTTTTGGAATCTTATAGAAAATTCCAATTCTGTGTCATATACCGCGCACTTTTGTTAATATCCTACATGCGTTATAAACCAAGGCCACAAAAAAGTCAAAAGAATGCCGGAGAAGATACCTGTAATTAACGCGGCGCCACCAAACATACCCGCAGTTGAAGCGTAACGATCTTCGACAGTGCTAAAAAAAATGTTATTGAATTTATTCATTTCAAACCAGTTACAATTTTACAATTCTAAACAACTAATAAACATAAAAAAAGAGTTAACATATTTAAGGAAGAAAATTTAAAAAAAAAACTATTCTGTCTGCAACATACTACATTTACCCACTATTTTTTTAATAGCACTCATTACGTATTTTTCTTTATTTTCGATTTAAAAAACACTGACACCAATGCACGGTTGCCATATCTATCTGAAGGAGGAAAATTGATAAAATTTCAAACATATAACAATTTGATTTTTTTTGTACAGTAATTGCTAGTTAATTTGACTTTGAAAAAAATATAAGTGGCGGAGAACTAGTCTAACTTGATTCTCCTTCTCATTAGTCCTCAAGTTCGCAATATATTTGAAGCATGATGTCATAAAACTATCAAACATTCACAAATTGAATATCAAAAAAGAAGTATGTTGAAATTAAAACAATTGACTTACCCAGGTACATACATCATAGCAACAGAACTAAAGTATCCACTGGTGAGGGCCATAGTAATAGCCACTATCCAATAAACCCAATCATTTGTTACAAGCACTGGTAAGGCCCTGTTAAGACCTTCTAGATGGTAGTTGCATAGCAAATAAAATGGTATGTATAAAAATCTAAGTGTGACTGGTATCCATAAATATTTTGCTGAAGGCTAAAATGGTAAACAAAGGCCTGTGTGACAAGCATACACATAAAAGTTTAAATTAGAAACATTATTTACTCACCCATATAAACCAAGTAGGCATCATGCTACCAATCATAGCAAAAACATTAAACGTCAAGAAGCAGGTAATTGGAGAATACCATTTATCTGGTATAAAGAAATTAGTGTCAACTCTTTTTACATCTGTAATTTAACATTTATTTAGTCATACATACAAAACATTCTATCAGATTGCTAATTGTTTGTTCATTTATGCAGCATAAAACATTTAACTTACTAGCTTGTATAGCAGGAAAGGTCCCCAATGTAACAAAAAATATGAACCATACGTTGTATAATTGTGGCAGCGCTTTTTTTACAATGTGCAAATAAGGCGTGTGATCATTAGCTCTTTCCGCTTCTCTCTTCCTTAGTTCCTCGTTCTTCTTAGCTTTTAATTCGTAATGCCTGTAAAATCTCTAAAATATATTATTAAACAAGTTATGAATATTCGCTTTAAAATTATGTGCTTACATTCAAAGGCAGTGCAAAATATGTGTCGAACCCCACTAAGAGCACAAACAGGGCAGTTATAAAATAGTATATGGCAGCCATTCTCTTATTCCCAGTCATTGCGTCTGATAGAATGCTGACAATGGTTACGAACGTGCCGCTTATATTATTTCCTAAAATGACTGCCCCAGTATATTTTGGAGGCAATTTAGCAGCCATTCCGTAGATGGTGTTTTGATATATACCATTTGCCACTAAAATAGTTGTCAAAATTTATCAACTTGATTTGAAACATATTTTATATAGGTGAAATTTGCAATAAACTTACTATTTAAAACAACAACGGTCACCATTGTTGTCCAAAAGAAAGTGTGAGGCCACTCACTACTGTCAACCATTGCCAGTACTATTGTAATAATAAAAACGACAACATTTATACTAATACTCCATACAATTCGAGTTGTTAGATCCCCACTACAAGGAAAATTGTTTAAAATAATACATTATCTAGATATGTAATAATGTGTAAAACAAAGAAGTATTTAGAGAATATACATATGATAAAACAAATGAAACAGCATTGATTACATCTTGAAACATCAGAAAAGAGAATTTTTAGAAACCATCAGTTAATGTTAATTTGATACATTCAATCAACAGGTAAATACAAATCGTAACTGTGTTTTCCTGAATAACATGCAACATTATAATGTTAAGAATACAATCTATATAAATATTAATAACAATATGCGTTAAGGTGTAAGTTGTATTTTTAATTATATTGCATTGAAAGTTTCATATTGTAAATTCTCGAGAAAGGCTAAGCATTGGTCAAAACATCGAATAAATTTAAGAAAATAAAAAATTATTTACCGTTATCTCAAGTAGCCTCCCCAAAATGAATAGATGAATGATAGATATATATTTCAAAAGATTGCAAAGTGGAGTTAGCGACATTATTAAGAAAAAAAACTTCTAATTTACTTTATTAATTTAATTAATTGACGACGAAACATTAAATAACTGTTCAAGTGGCTTTTGAGCAGTTCACTTGCAGATTAAATTGATATATTTGAAAACCTTTTTGCTGCAAGCTTCTTTTCGATTGTGATATTAATGATATTATAATCCCCATTAAGTTTTGTGTTTAATATCAAATGCAAATTGTAGCAATTTATATTTATGAAATAAAATACATATTACTATGCATTTATAAACAACACTAGAGAATTTGAAAATTGGGAAATTAAAGATTTTGAAGAACTCACCCAATATGTACGAAGATATTTAGCCAGTTGAAAAGCACGTTAGGAACTTGCGAACAGAATGTTAAGATCTGCATAAAATTTGTTAAATGTGGAAATGAAAATCCAATGTAGTCTCGAGCCAATTTGTGATCTGTAAAATACTGAAAAATAATTTGATTACAATATTTAATACTAATGTATACTTTAAGGTTTTTTTATACAACATATCAACCCAAAAAGCAAAAGTTACACATTTACAGCTTTACATTTAATATTCCAGCCTTTAGAAGTATAAAAATTGAAAAATCAACTGTAGTAACATCCAACATCCTCATCATAATTATTAGTTCCAAATTTCTCGCTGTTAACATGAAATAAAGATTGAAAACACTTACACCCATGGCAGTGATAAACATATTCCAAGGCATTAGTGTGCCAATGCCGTGTATTAAAAATGTAATATAAACCAAATTGTATTTGTCTGGCGGAGTGTGCACTTGTAGGCTTGCATCGTCCATTGTTAGATTTTTAAAATTGAGCTCGTCCTCAGGCAGGTTATTTTCCTCCCATGATGGTTGTAACTTTACCGGTTTCTGTAACCGAGTCCTCTCGTCTGTTCCATCCCTTCCTAAAAAAACATTATCAGCCCTAAATATAAAAATAAAATACAGTGAAAAATTAAAACGAAATGTAAAATTTCGTTTATCTCGGTTTTTGAAATTAAATGCAATTATAAAGGGCAAAACAAAAACGAACTTGAGGACCTGCTAAACGAATGGCGAATTTAAAATCAACAAAATACAATTTTGCCGTATTTGAACCGCCCATCTTTTACCGTTGACGTAGGTATACATGACCTACCAAACGGTATGAAAAATTGTCGACAAAAATATGCGCTTATCGAGAAGTTACGTTTGTGATATATTATTGTAGTACATTACATTAGTGATCATAAAATTAAATAAAATTGCTAAAACTAGTTAAAGCAGGAATGCTCTGGTCCAAATAATCTTAAGATTTAATTAAATAATTTAATGTTTAAAATATAAGTAATAAATAACTAGCAAAAGATTGCAAAATTAGTATTATAATATCATTCATATATTTTAGGTGGGTGTCAGCTATACCGAGTGTGCTAGAATTAACCCGTTCTCGTCGCTCTGACACTTAAACCAGGTTGCGGGAGAAGGATTATCGTTGCAAACTTTGTCACAATCAGCGGTTAAAAACGTTTAAATAAAAACAGATCTCACATTCTCTCACCAATATATTTTAGCAAAAAGAACAAAAAGATTTATGAACATTATTTGTAATACCCATTCAAAATTTTGGAAAAAATCCATTTTCTTCATCGCCACAGAAATTCCGACTTCAAAATAATTTCCGCGCAATTTCTCCAAAATGTACGTATACAGTGATGAAAACTGCGAGATCAAATAAAATTGTTAAGTAGATGACGTAATACATACACTGTAACAATAATTTAACGAATCTACTGAGAATAATAACGGTTATAAATTTCTCTCCTTGGTGTTAAAATAATACCGTATTATTGTTAAAATCCTTGAAAAAAATTGAAAAATAACTGAGCTACCATTTAAGATTAAAAATAGTAGTAATTTTGTCTAGTTTTTATCTTTTTAAAAATTATCTTTAATGTCTCGAATGTCTCAGTAAATCCAAATTTTAATGTTTTTTTTTTTGCAAAAATAACCTTTGGAGGCACAGAAAATGTGCAAAGTTTTGCTATACGAAATCTTTTTTTTTAAATTAAAGATTTATTTGTTTTGCACTTACAAGAACCCTAATCATAGCCAGCGGATAGACTGCTTACTATAGAAATTAATAAAATACTAACAAAATTATATGCGTTGAGCAAATATGATCCCAGATTAGACGAGAGGTGTCCTATTTCAAACCATCTTTACTGAAAAGTAGTTTTCCTTGAATATTGTTCATATACATGCAAAATATGTACTTAAAATTTTGATTAGTTACACCACATAGAAAATTTATGTATTAGAATTAAAATTGCTCTTTGGCATCTTGATACGTAATTTATATTATACTAGAATATAAATCACCATAATTGTTGGATATTCCAATACCGGTCGAAATATATGGGACTTTCGTAAACTGCAACAAAAAAATTCACTTACCTCTGAGATTCAAATGACAGCTAAATATTTAGGAAACCGCACTGGATATGCAACAAGTAAAAATAATAACAAGAAAAAAAGCAGTAATAAAAAATAGGGTGTGCTCTTTAAGATAACGATATTGCCATATATTGTCATGAGCGGTAACGTTGCATAGTCCAAATATTTAGTTGGATAGTTCGATAGACTACACATACACAGTCTGTTGATCATTGATCATTAAACAAAGGTAAAATGTTTTATGTTCGATATCTATTAACAATGATCAAAGAGAACATTTTATATAGAATTAAATCCTGTAGAAAGTTCACACCATTTCTTTTAATTTTAATTTTTTTAACTAAGAAAAGTTAATCCACTTTTTAATCTAACACATCTAAACGTTCTATGTAAAATTTTAGTTTTTGATTTTTTGACTTATTACATTTCCGAAAAACTCAAAATATCAATAGTTCAACAAAACTATTTTATTTCAGTGGAACTAACTCACAAACTTAATTACAAAAAACTATAGTTTAGATCGAAAAACCAAACCAACTTTTCTCTAACTAATAAAAAGCTCTATTGAGTGATATTACACAGAGGAGAGTTACAGACATTTGAATAAATAATTTCGTAAAACTAACCAGGTTGCCATGGAAAAAATGATTTAAAAATATACAACTAGATATTTAGCAACAAAAATATGGCAACTTTGGTCTATTATTAAATTTGTCGCTTCTAATAGGTCATCGAGTTTCGAATGCTCCGTCTTTATATTATTAAAATTATAGATTCACCTTGGCCTGCAACAATCTTGGCGGATTTTTCTTCGTTGTGCAGATAATCCTTCTGACGGGAACTCATTTTCCCGAGTATGCTATTTATCCCAAAAACTGCAAACCCAAACACTTCTATGGACCCCTTGCCCTTTCGTCAAATATTGAACCTGTGAAGAAGATTTTATAATTTCACAAGTTGTAATCTAATTTTTTAATGGAATGGTGATAAAATTCCGCTAATCTATCTCAACGAATTAAGTAGCATTAATACAAAATCTTAAATGTATAGGTTATAAAATGGAATTGCACTACTTAGGAAGTCAATTTTTCAAAAAACATGTTGACTATAAGAGTAGGTCTTTATTTGACTTTTTCATAAGAGATCGTAGAAGGTGGAGAAGGTAAAAAATGAAGATACAGAATAATTAATAAAAAAAATTTAATAAGAAGGTGTATTATAAATTATAGACCACTATACAAAACAATATCTAATGCGAAAACTATTTTTAAACAAGGTCGAAGAACGTGGTTCTTCACTTTTAAAAAATACAATCGAAGTTGTAATCATATATTTTTTTAATAACTCTATTTTTTCTAAACTTTTGAAACATACATTTTCAGATCTAATGTGAGGCTAGAAAATCGTAATTTACATGAAAAGTAATAACTTTTGCGGGCCTCTTCTTATTACTTAGCGAAACTTCTTCAATTTAGAAACATTAAAATTACGTAAAGACGAGGAATTGATAACCACTTAACTTCTCTCTGTTTCACTAATATGCTTACGCATGACACGACAATTGTTTAACAAGATAAACGCTCTGATTAAAACCTATATTGAATACTTAAAAATAGCAAAAAAAAAGTTTAAAAAATAAAAATTTAAGATCTGAACTCCATCTGCGAATCTTTCGCTTACCTTGTCGTTTATTGTAAATATGTGTATGACTCGTTATCGCACAATAACTATCTAAGATTTATTTTATACTACGGAAAACATTCGTTAAACGTTTCTATTAATTTTTAAAATCAATCAGTTAACACCGGAATATAATTCCTAAATATATTTATAACTTAGACACATTTAAATTCATTATTCCAAAATTTTTAAATTAAATGAAGTGAACTTATAAGAAGCATATCGGGTATTTATTTAATTTACTTATCGGGTACTACCGATTTCCTAAGAACCAAGCAACCGAACGCTTTTATATTTTAAATCATTTTGTAACTTATCGATGCATGCCAGCATATTTTCCTAATGTGGTCGGGCGTTGAATTGAGATAAATATAAGAGGTCAAAATGAATAACCCGTGAGATAACTCCTAATTACCGGAAATTTAAGTAAACATTAGCAAAATGTATAAAGCTTAATACGACTTTTTCAGCTAAGGTGCAAAAAAAAAATGCGGAGCAAGATTTACTGTGCCACGTTCGATGACTGGCAGGTATACAAAGTCACAGTGCACGAAAAATAAATTTAAAACAATGAAGTGAAAACCATATTTTATTACTGTTTAAAATTCATCACTTTAGGAAATACGAATAAAATGAGGTTAACGTTTGCTTAAATACTGTATTGCCATTATAGGTAAAACGTTAACAAATTAGATCTATGAATACACAATTAAAAATAAGAGAAAACATATTTAAGAGTAATATTACACACATAGTAATAGGGGTGAATGACGTTTATGGAAGACAAGAAATGGAATATTTCTGAAAATATTTGACTCCTGCTCGTCAAGGCGCATGATTGAACCAAAATTATTGTGTGGGGTGACTAATCCATTGCAAAATCAAACATCAAAAAATTAATGCCGTGCCGGGCTAAAAACAGGCCAATGAAGTCCAGCAGTCAAATTTACAGAAGTCCTAAGCTACAAATGGTAACGGTAATGGCCTACTAACAGGCCACTGCCGGCTTAAGAGGCATTGAACTGTAATGGGAATGCAAGAAATACTGAATGTAGAATCTGCCAAGAGTAGGCACACGTTATATATGCCAATATGGAGGCCTATCGAGAATGCGTTTTCATCTGCTGGGCATAACCAAACCGAAGGCGACGAGCTACACTAAAGACCCACACAGCTGAGGGATGTAATCAGAGAGACGAACCTAGATAAAGCTCTATAGCTATACAGAGGAGTCACAAAAGCATGTCAATACCGCTGGTACGCTAAAATTATGGCATTCCATTTAAATTAACTGAGTTATAGTTAGTCAAAATTTTTATTAGATTATATTAAATATTTGAAATACCATGTATAAGATGGGAAGTTTATAACGATTGGTATAAATTTTGCTCACATACCTTAAATACTTCTTATTAAAATTAACAGATTAGCTTATATCTGAAAATTGATACAGAAGGACACTCCGCGCACACTTAGTGTCCGAAGAGGATCCAAAAATGTTGCAGTACTCAAACACAACTTTTGGCAAGTTTGGAACCACAACGTAGTAATAACCATAATGGTAAGTAAAATTTTTTGCAAGCTACCTATTATGGCCGCAATTTTGTTACTGCATTTAGTTTACTACCCATATCATAAATTTAGGGATTAAGTGTGATTTAAGATAATTTCAAATATTAGATATGCGTGATTGCTTACATAGATTTAGAAATAAGTAAATAATTCCTATACTTGAATTAAATTCTTGGAGATTGCATAGTGTTGATAGTGTTTATAGTATTGATAAATTGTTTGCCAGACTAATAGCGTATTACACTAGTGTGTTAAACTTCCTACGTCTTTTACTTTTCCATGACATTCAAAATACACCTACTGTTGGAAACAATTCAGTCCTCATTTAATGACGAGGGAAATATATACCTACAAAATTTTACAATCTGTTAAGTGGATACACAACCATTTTATTTAAAAATTCTGAAAAACATTCACAAATTACAAATAATTTACCCAAGTGCTTATGTAAGCTCTCTATAAACTGGAAAACAGAAGGATATTCCTACGTGCCGGATCTCATTCCCATACACAAATTGTTTCTTTATTCTTTAATTACATGCGTCAAACTGCTGTCAAGATAAAATATGTATTAATTTTTATGGCGAGCACAAACCTTTATCCAAGATTTCTGATTCATCTAGAGTACATTTGGCAGTATATGGCAATATACTAGTATATTGATAAACGAAAAACAAAATATTTTAACACTGAATTCACAAGTTCAATGTCAACAAATCATAAGTTAATATTTATATTATAAGTAGTAGTGTCTTTCTCTGTGATTAAGAAATTTTTTAAACAATTACAGTTAATTTTCCAGATTTTCTTTAACCCCCGTTCGGTAAAACTGATGTTTTCATTCATAGGGTACATGCCTACGAGCACTAAATTTAAGATTAAACACACAAATGATTCATTTAACAATAGTTTTTTGTAGGTTTTATTACTTATTTTATCTGGTGAACACATATTTCTTACAGATATCCTGCCAATCCTTTCCTCGCCAATGCTTTTAATAGCACCAATATTTTTAAATTGAATAAACAATAAGTATTTTTAAATTTTTTCCTACCTAACACCGTACATTTTACAACAACTCTTAATTAAAACAATTTAAAATGAAGGGTTAATTATTTGGGTCGATCCAACCCTTATTTTGACATCCGACGAATACGCCCTATGAATTATTTTTTTAAACATACCAAGAATACAAATTAATTTAAATATGTACTTACATTTTGTGGAGAACTTTTTTATTTAACAAATTAGCACTAGACAGTCGACAAACACGTGGTTCGTGTTCTTTAACAATTATTTCATGCAACTCGTAACATGCTCCTTGATCTATTTCCACACTCCCGCGCCGAAATGCGCTTTGACTGAATTAAAATTGGTAAGGAAGGAGAGTTCTTCTTTCATAAAATGACCTACAAAGACCGATCAAATTCAGTTTAAGTATGAAATGATATATTATTATATAATAAATTAATTTACGTTAATTGCAACGAAAGCAATAATTGTTGTAAAGGGAAACTTTTTTATTATTTATTTTATTAAATTAAATTTTCTGAGATCAGAACTAAAATTAGAATGTAACGTAGCTACCACTAAACTCTGCAAAATTTTTATTTTGCTGGGCCTAAATATTTCTAGCACTGGACAATTAAGCCCCGTAGTCACGATGCAATTTCCACTTGTAGATAAAAATTGCTGTAAAATGCATGTATTTTTAAGATAGTAGATACAACGCAATTTTTTCGTGCAAAATGGACTTTATTTGATTTTTTTTTTTAAATTTTGATACAATAAACGACACTTTTTAGCTTTTGTTGATGCTCAAAGGCTAAAGATTATGCAAAAATGTTTTTATGAAACTAAAACTAATTTCTTTGTTTACATTTAGGACTAATTTAAGTTACATATTGAAATACAGTTTTTTAAAACAAATTGTTTATTGTTATGTTCGGGATTATACTTTGCAATTCCTACAGCTTTTTTAACCTAATTGTCCATTGCCACTTTTTACAATCATGTATTTGGAAGGCGAAACTTTCTTCTGCAATTACTAGACTTGCGATGGAGGAATGAGCGTTCTGTCTATACGAGATTCTGCAGTTGCTTCTTGAATATTTTTTCCACTTACATTTTTCCTGTGCGATATCTAGTATCTTATAAAGTTATATTTAGACTTTTAAAGAGTTATATTTTGCGATTTATTTATTTTTTTGATGGAGGGTAAACCTACAGGTTTATTAAAACAAAAGCTTTGCGCCGATTTACACACACAAATTTGGAAAAAATATTTGGTAATAGTGATGGCGTAACTTTCAAGTAACCGTTACAACCGATACTTTTCGGTACTGAATACAAAATATTGATTATAAATACTGGTATAAGTATTGGCTCCAAAGGAAATACTTGTAGCAACTATACTTTTTGTCATGTAATTATTACCTTAGTATTACAAACGCAAAGAAAATTATATTTTTTAAAGGAATCGAATGATATTAAAAATATTTCTTTTCAGTACAATACAAAAAAGTTCAAACCTTTTTAATGCTTTTATTTATTATCACCTCATCCAGTAAAATAACAAATACCTGTAATCAGTATTTTTTGATCGTCAGTAACGATTACAGTTACACGACTCCACATTTTGCTGCAAAATACTGATTATTACCGAGCACTAAAATCTCGCTGCTGGTATTTTGTCTTCCAAATTTCTTGCAATTTTCACTGAACCTATTCTGTGCTTTTTATAAAATTTTGGTCGGTTTTTAAGCATGGACGTAATAACGTCGCTATCTTTAAATTGAGGAACGATGCTGGCAATTTTGCCCAATAGCTCTAAATAGCTGCAGTAGAAATAAAGAAGAAGAACCGTAAAATACCTACTATTTTTATTTAAATTTATAACTTGCTGTTTTTGTAATAAACATCGAGTAACTAGTAAGAGAGTTACATAATATGTTTATTAATGGATTTTGAAAATCAAAGACTGGCTCTACTCTATGGTTCACAAACAGGCAATGCTCAGGACTTAACGGAACGTCTATATCGAGAATCGAAACGATTTTATTTCGGAAGTGTTGTGAAGTCGCTAGACCAATACAACGTAATAGATCTAGTCAAGGAACAGTGCGCGATATTTATTTGTTCAACTACGGGTCAAGGAGAAGAGCCAGATAACATGAAACATTTTTGGAAGTTTTTGTTAAGAAAAAGTTTACCATCCAACTCTTTATGCTCCCTAAAGTAAGTTTCTTGTAGATATGATGTATATAGACCACAACATAGATTACAGAGTTCTAGTTGTATTGTATTACCTGGATATATTGGTTAACCTATATTCTTCAGATTTGCAGTGCTAGGTTTAGGAGATTCAAGTTACCCAAAATTTAATTTCGTAGCAAAAAGACTGCATAAGAGATTACTCCAATTAGGAGGTCAGAGCATAATTCCTTTAGGATTGGGGGATGACCAACATGATTTGGGATATGATGCTGTGGCTGACTTGTGGTTTCAACAATTATTTTCACAATTGTTACAATTGTATCCTTTACCCAATGGAGTTTCGCCTCTGCCAAAAAACCTAAACATCAAATCAAGGTAAGCAAATTATTTGGGACTATGGCAAATCATCTGAACAATTTGTTGTTCTTTTAGATGGAATGTTTTTATTAGAGATAGCAAAAATTTTGATGATCATCGGAATATCTTGTGTAAGACACAATCTATTTATTATTCAACTAGTCAAAGTGGAGACTTTACTTCCAAGGTGATAGCAAATGAACGTATAACAGATGTCGCCCATTTTCAAGTAGGATTGTATTAATGTTTCTATTGCTAAGTGTAGCTGTTAAAAAAGATTGTAAATTTTAGGATATTAGATTATTAAAACTACAAAGTAAAGGCAAAAAATATTGCCCTGGAGATGTCCTAGTACTCAGACCTAGAAATTTGTCTTGGAAAATTAAAGAGTTTAAAGAAATTCTCTCCACAAATAATATTCATATTTCTGATGATACTGTATTTCAAATAATAGAAAAAAGTACAGATATACCAGTACCAGAAATTTTCAAATCAGAAGTGACTTTTCAACAACTTTGTGAAGAATATTTTGATTTATTTTCAATACCACGAAGATCAGTTTTCAAAATTTTAGCTCAGCTTACTGACAGTGAATTAGAAAAAGAAAAATGTTTGGAATTTTGTGCCGCAGAAGGGCAACAAGAGATGTATTCATATGTCCATCGGCCAAGAAGAAATATAGTTGAAATTTTGCAAGATTTTCCACATGCTACAAAAAATTTAACTCCTGATATGTTATTTGAGATATTGCCTCCAATTAAAGCAAGGGAGTTTTCTATAGCCAGCAGCTTTGCAATCCATAAAAATGAAATACATCTGCTGGTAGCTGTGGTAAAATACAAAACCAAACTTATGAAAGAACGTCTTGGATTGTGTTCGAACTATTTGGCAGATTTAAAGCCTGGTGATGATGTTACTATCTGGATTAAAAAGGGATGCTTCAAGTTTCCTCAGCATTTGGTAAGAGAATTTAGATTTTAAGTTTATTAAATATGAGTAATAATATGTCGTGTGGTTATCACAGCAGGGTATGGCAGGTTAGACAATTGTGGCAAAAATTTGGTTGTTTACACAAGCGAGGATGCTTTAGTAATCTAATATATCTTGAGCTATGCAACATTACGACTTTTTCGAAAATGTTGCATGAACTTTTATATTTTAAACGGGACGCAGTGTATATTAATAACTTTTTTGTTCCGCCTAGTTGTTGAGAAATTAGTTATGTTCCCTATTTTTTGTCCAAAACATAACCCCAATTAAATCTTTATTACAGGCTTATTTAAATTTCGTCGAGAGCTGAAATTTTGGGTATATTTTATGAAGTCTCATGCAATAGTTTTATGTACACAAGTTGGCTCTTTAATACGCAGGGGGCTGCATTGTGAACTTGGCCTGTCAAATTTTTTGTGTAAATTGACCGAAATAATTTTAAAATTAAGTTTATATTTATTTATTTATATTGTTATTGTTAATCTTTATTGTCTAACAGATTAACATCCATTTAGAAGACAATTTCATCTTAAGTACTGTAAACTAGAACTATAATAAGTATTCAACTATTCACTCCACCAAAGTAGTAGAAACATAGAATCCATTATAGTATTTCAAATTTATGTTTAATTAATGTGGTAAACTGTGAACGACTAAGACAAAAAACGTCAATATCATTACAGAAGTTATTCAATAATTTCATCAACTGATAAGAGGACGTTTGATCAAAAAATAGGTAGATAACACTCTACAATTGCAAGATGTTATTTAAAACATTTTGATCGAATTTGACTAGTCAATTAAGAAGTGGTAAATGTTTGATTATACTGGCGGAAGCGAAAATAATGAAAATATATATATTTTTAAAAGTTTTCAAATATTGTGGACCTAAACCTAAATATTAAGGACTCCGAAATAAAAGTAAGTTTATTTCGTTTATTTGCCTTAGGCAGCCATAACATTATTATTCATTTCCACTGAACATTTCATAATTTGACAGTTCATTATTATTAATAGCTATATTTTGAAAGACTGGGTAACAGCGTAAAGTTAATAATGGGTGAAAGGGAGAACTACTCTGATAAATTTTTGATAAGTTGTGTAATTTTTGTTGTTTTTTTAATTGTGGAACGGAAATTTAAATTATATACGGTGTCTGCTATTTAAAATGTTGAGTATTCTTTCCTTCCTTATCAACCTTAAACATTTCTTCTGTTTAAAGAACTCGATAAAAGCAGAAAGAAATTCTTACCCAAAAATGTGTATGAACCACATTAGACTCATAGATCGTTCGTGCTTATGTAGATAAACCAAATTTTCATTCACTATAAACGTCTTGCCTGCCATCAACCGTGAATCACCTTGTATATAGGGTAATTCACTGTGGTGAAATTAGATCATTTACATAAATATGGTGCTTTATAGTAGCATTTTTTAAATTTTAAATTAAATAAAAAAACAATTGAAATGTAATTTTCATGATTATTAAATCCAGAATTTCAGCTTTCAGTCAGTTTAAGTTGTAAATAATAATAATCATCTATAGAACGTCGTCGCTTATGTTATTTTCTATACCGAGTGTCAGAATTATTGCTACAGAAGTCAATAAAAATTATCTAAGTGCTTAGATTCCCCGTATCAAATAAAATCGTCAATTCTTTACATCAAAAGTAAAGCATGACGCCATAGGTTTTCCAATAAGAATTTTTAGGATTCTCCAGTTATTATGGTGGGTCCAGGTACCGGTGTCGCGCCATTTAGAAACTTCATATTCGATGTTTTAGACCAAATAACTAATCCTTGTCATTTAATGTTATTTTATGGATGTAGATATAAAGATAAAGATTTTTTATGCAGGGAAGAATTTGAACGTTTAAGTATCCAGAACCAATTAACTTTGATATGTGCATTTTCCAGAGACCAAGAAGAGAAAGTGTAAGTCAATAATTTAGTGCTTTGACTTAGACAATTTAATCCAATATTCATATGTTCTAGTTATGTGCAGCATAAAATTGAACAGAATGGGGTAATGGTGTGGGAAGCATTGCAAAAAAACGCCCGTATATATATTGCAGGCAATTCAAAAAATATGCCTCAAGGAGTTAGAGAATCATTTGTGAAAGTATGTCAGAAACATGGCGCAATGTCTGAAAATGAAGCCCTTCAGTTTATCAACAACATGGAAAAAAAGGGCCTATATCAAACAGAATGTTGGTCTTAATTATTTATTAGACAACAAATGAAATTAGATGGATGTTTTTTAAAATAGTAAAATAATATAGACATATTTTGTTACTGACTTTCTTTGTCCATAAAAAAAACTAAATAGAAAATAGTTAATCAACTAAAAACCTAAAACCATGTGGTATAGACTGTTGGCAGGTTGTTCATTAACGACTTTTTATTTAGAACTCAAGCCCTTTCCATTCTTGCCACTTCTGCTATTAGGGAAAGGAAAATGCATTCCTTCTGTTATTCCCATTAACATTTTTTTTAGCATTTGTTGCATACAAGAGGTTTATTTATGCTAAAGTATAAAATCATGAATAATGGTAAAATTTTTAGAACTTTCCAATTTGTTGGAGATTGGGGAGAAATAAAAGCCCTTTAAGTACTTAGCAAGTAATGTGTTTACATTTAAAAAAATCACAATGTATAGTGTAAAAAAATACAACAAAAATGGAATGTAAAAAAATTGCACAGTCATAAAAATATCAAAAATATGGAATGTCTACATTTAAGTACGTACAAGATTATAACCTATTAAGAACTTAACATTAAAGACCTGGTTTGATATTAAAATGATAACGATTTTTGACAACATAAATTATTTGGAAATGGGCACTACCGAATACCAAATTTTACATTGGGAATAAAAACATTTGAAATCTAATCGCGCAAATATAGCGTTCATATTTTTGCATGTTTACTAGCACGTGAGAAAGCTAAACATTTTTTATACATTAAATAATTCATGTACTAACATTATAGTTATTTCACGTATGCCCTTTTCCAAATGATCGATTTAATTATATTCAGTTTACAAGTGCAGTTTAGGGGCTATTTGATATAATGATATAATTTAATACATTATATGAATTAATTATCTTTAAAACATGTAATGTGATGATTTTTGTAGCTGTACCGCTTTTATTATGTTATAAATATAATATTAACTTCTGAGGTTGCGTGAGAGGAATTAATTAACTAACCGGGTGACACAAGGAACCGAGAACATTTATAACTGTTACTACAGTTAAATTAATACTTGTAGGTTGATATGGCGATAAAAAGTTTAGATGGCTTGATACAAGCTAAATGTGCAATTTTATTATAAGTCCGCTTTCGATCTGAGCAGAAACTAAACTAGGTTTTGATTTTCTTTTTTCACCAACTTTCAATTCTAACTACCCAAAACTATTTATTGTAGGCACAAGGAAGCCATCTCTTCCTATTAATAGCAATAAATATTTTTGTTTCAACTTGATAGTCAAAATGTCGGGTGTTGCAAAAAAATTCACTAAATGTGAATGTATTGTGGTTATTTGTTATTGGGTCGGTTGGTTGTTATTCTCTTAAAAAATTAAATTAAAATTTATGTAGAAATTATTAATTTTTAAAAGTAATCTAAATTTACGCTCATAATAAAATATATATTTTAAGTATCCTACTGGAACTGTGTGTGGATTCTACATAATTTTATTATTTTTTTTTCATCAAAGTTATTGGATTATATTCTTGCATTACCCGGTATAGCTATATAATTTAAATAAATTAAATATTGTATTGTATGTACAATGGTAGTGATTAGGCCACATTTGTTTTTTTTTTTCAGACTAGAATTTGATAATCAATACTTTAATATTTCATGACATAAAAAGATGAAGCTTTTATATTAATTATATTAATTTGGTGTTGAGTATTTAATAATTGTTCTAAATTTAATTTCAGGCCCAGTTTATTATATATAATAATCATATATATAAAATTAATTAAAAAAATATATAAACCTTCAAACTGCACTGCGCTGCACTTGCAGGTTTTTCTCTAAACTAGTTGGTTCACTGCCTTTGAAAAAACCAGATCCAATAAACGTTAAATTATTGAGATCTTACCAAAAATACTAACCTAACACAGGTATATGTACAAAAATAAAAACAGAAAGCTCTCCAGGCACATGTCTTTCGTATATTATATTTTTAATTAATTATAGGTTGTCATAAAAGCAAAAGTTATGACAGTGATAACAGTTACACACTTGTCCTCAAGATATATCTCTGAAGCAAGGAAAAGCAGTGACTGGCTGCTTTACCATGTCTTCATCACACATATTATTGCTTATTTACTTTTCTAAACGAGCCAAAGAAAAAAAGCATTTGTATGTTGTTATGTAGATGATAAAGAAAAAAATATATTTTTATCCATAGGATAAAGCTTGAGGATTAAGGATGCATATTGCTTTTGTGACATCTCCATCCATTTATTTTACTCCAACAAAAATATTCATTTAGCGCTTTTAGTCTTTTAAAATCTCCCCCATCGACAAACTAACCTAATGATGAAATAAATAGTAAATCATTGCTCATCAGCATTGCATAAAACATCTAGATTGGAGACATGGCACCTAATTTGTAAGTGTATCTATCTAATGTAGCCAAAACCTGTTTAAGCCAAATCTTGTAAAATATCTTTTTCCTAATTATTTTTATATTTAAAGGTAAGTATAAAATATTTTTCATTTCGATGAAATGACACTTCCACTGCCATGCTTCATAAATTTTATCATATGTATACGAATTGAGCCCTCTTCTTAACAGCAGAAATATGAGCCTGTCCTCAAAAGTTTAAAAAATAATGTTATGGCGAAGTCTCGTCTTTTCTTTTTAATACAGAGTAATAAGAGTAAAATAGTTCAGATCTTTTTGTTTTTATGGCGAAACAGTCTTCTTGAGCTGGGGGTCCTACATCTAATTACACATATATCATATATATATATATATATTGGTCTCTTCCTTTCCAATATTACATAGTTTTATGACCTATAAAGCTTCAATATGTTACAGCGTATTCCATGCATGTTATATTTTTTAGGTTATAAATAGAAAAAATTCCTGATGAATATATATATATATATATATATATATATATATATATATATATATATATATATATATATATATATATATATATATATATATATATATATATATATATTCTCACGTATTGATTCACGGATGGAAAAATGTGATGACACTATATTCCGGGATATCATCCGTTCGCTCGTTGAACTCCGACTGGAATCCTGCAAATCCTGCATCCGACTGGAATCCTGCAGACGTTTCGCCAAAATCTCACTTGGCATCTTCAATGCTGGCGCTCCGAAAACACTTCGAACACTTCGGAGCGCGAGCATTGAAGATGCCAAGTGAGATTTTGGCGAAACGTCTGCAGGATTCCAGTCGGATGCACGATTCCAGTCGGAGTTCAACGAGCGAACGGATGATATCCCGGAATATAGTGTCATCACATTTTTCCATCCGTGAATCAATAGGTGAGAATATATATATATATATATATATATATATATATATATATATATATATATATATATTTTGATTGATAGTCATTTTGCTAGAAAATACCTTCCCAGAGAATGTATTTAGCATTGTGAAATAGATAGGTACCTATGTGCACAACACATGTGGAGGCTATTTATCTAGTATTAAAATCTTTTAATGTAAAAGAAAGTTTTTAACCTTTTCTAATTTAATAAAAAAATTCTCACAATTTTCTAATAAAAAATAGAATGAAAATCTTGAAATTTTGCTGTTAGAAAACATTTTCATACGGGTGTTTCTTCATCCTTGTCTGTGCTACTGTGAAAAAAAAAAATCAAAATATGTATTTTAAATATATATCTTGAACTTACACTTACCAGAAAAAAAAAACATTTACTTATTAACTTGATATGCCCAACACCATCTATAGTTAAAGAAAGCAGCATTAGTACCAAACCACAACTAGATATTAGTATTACAATATAAGATTTTAACCTAAGTAGTGGCCCACAGTAACACCTATATCTGTGCTTAAAGCGTTTTAAAAATTATTTTGCTACCTGCTATTTTTATTTAATAAGTTATGTAATAACAGATTATTGTTGGCTAATCAGCTAAAAAACATTTTTACAACTATATGTTATCAGAAAATGCTAAAACCTGAGTGGACGATTCCAATGTTTAAAATTCTATAAAATAATATCTGTCGCTCTATATTATGTGAATTAAATCATTCTCTACACACACAAAAAAAATCGCAAGTACTTACGATGAAGGTTCTGGAGGCATGCCAGAGTGTATCATCGACACAGGTGGAACTAAAGGTGGCGAATCTCTAATGCTACCACCTGCAGAACCATGTAAAGATCCTAAGACTGAACCGATTCGTGACCCCATTCGAGACCCGGTTGATCCATGAAAATCCATACAAGGATTATTTAGGTCATTTGTCACGGGAGACATCATCCGATTACTAGGATGAGGTGACAGGTCGGGTTGGCCATAGCTGGTGTGGATTTGGATGTGATCCTCTTCCGCTAAATGGGTTATTTTTAATATTGATGAGAGGAATGTGGAAATGCATTCATTAAAAGAAAATGTTATAACTTTACCAACCTGAACATATATTGTCTTTGGATAGCAAAAACAAGGAGAAAAATATTAGTGAATACAAATTAATATAAAATAGACGCTATTTTACATATTTACCTGTATAAGGAAATAGATACTTGTCACCCATCTGATGCTTTTCATCTATGTCAGAATATCTGTCATAATCCTGATAGTTTACATTCTCATGTGGGATCATTTTTTGCATGTATTCATTTTTGGTATACATATTAGGGTTATAACGATTATTATAATGAGTCCTAATCCTATACTGCTCTGATTCAATGACAGGCAGGCATGTTTCAGAGGTTACATCAGGATGTGGTAGAGGATTTGGTGAACTGGTTTTATGGAGCAATTCATTGTCGGAACCGGTTTCAGCTGACCACCGACCAATATCTAAAGGCAACGTGAATTAAAATTAACTGAAACGAATAATGTTATAATTTACCATTAGGATTCGGAAGATATGATTCAGGAAGTTGACTGGACCACCTTGAACCGTAAGTTGGTTGGATAGCTGGGAACAACTGGGAATTCGTCACAACATTTAAGGAAGGGGGAGTGCCACATCTTGACACTACATGTTCTGTAATGTTTGGCAAATATCCTTGTCTGGCTGACATATGGATCCTGCTGTGGTGCTTTTTAGTACTTGATTCGTCGTCATCACTCGAATGGCTTGAAGCTATAAACACAGAACATGTAACAAATGAAAACAAATGCAATTTCATAAAAATTTTAAAATTATAACCATTTTCGTATTAAGATATTTATGATTATTAAAGCTCGTATTAAAACCTAAAACTAGATTAAAACTATTGTAAATTAAAAACTCCAAATTCATTGAAAATTCAAATTAAATGCTTAAATTAAAAACGCGCAAACCTAAATCCAGACTTCTTCCTTCAGATCCGTCGCTATCTGAATCACTATCACCCCGATTTCTTTCCCTGCTTTCTTTTAAATCACTTTGTTCAGTCACTTCTCTGCGCCTCAGATTAGTAGTTTGGTCAAAGCTTCGTAAGTATGAAGGTACATCGCTGGTAGAATTGTAGTTAGAGGTAGAAGTTGATGTATTACGAAGATGTGTATCGCTTCTGAATTTCAAATGGTTTTCAATTCAATTTACTTATACGTTCACACTATTAAGCATTGAACCAACCTGTAAGGACTAGAACTAGTCTTGGTGGTAGACCTAGATGTCGTACTTGATGCAGAAATTCCAATGTTTCTGCGTTTTTGATCCACACTTGAGTGATATGCAAGAGCCGAACGCTAAAATTAATGCATTAGTATAGTAGAACACAAATTAAACGCATACTGACTGATTGGATAGTTATATTTTGGCTACTTGTACTAGGTACTCCGGCAACTGATGCTGTATCCAATAGAGGCACTTTTTTACCTAAGCACCTCATAAATGTCCTAAAATATGAACCAAAATTGTTTGAAATGAGTCCTTTAAAAGATAAATACCGTAAGAGATTCTGTCTGACTCTATTATTTGCGAAGCAATAACCCGCTAACGAGAATGCAGCATGAATTAAAACCGCACACGATAGCAACGGCATTAGCAAGGGATGTCGTTCTGAAGCCGCCAACAGGGCCAAGACCCAAGTGGCACCTAACAATGGCAAGGATATTACTGATACCCATAACAAAGTCCTAGAATGTAATACACAAATATAATTAATGACTAATATTTCTGAAATAAAGAATTGTATTATAGAAAAATACTTTACCTGAGATTGCCAAAGCCCAGTACATGATCTTGCAAAGTAAATGCTGCCCGAATGCAAAGCACCAATATACAAAGGTTAACAAACGTGAGTAAACATGTTGGCCCAACTAAACTCCAAATGACACTTTCGTAGAGTGAAACCCAGCAACTAAAAAATTTATCATAAATTCAATATGTAAATTAAATACAAAATTTATCGACACCCACAAGTAATAGTTGCCATATTGGTGAGCCCTAACGCCAACTGACAGAGCAACAACGACTGCTGGAACAACATAACCAATGCTGTAATAGAATCTCATTGGTCCATGATTAATATCTCTCATTTCTGTCAGCATCCTGTATAAGTGCACTGCATCAACAGACATCCAACAAAAAGACGCTAACCATAAGTAGTGCAGACCAATAGCGATCAATTTACAGGCAAACTTAAACAAAACACACGCATAATGGTTAAACTATTTATTACCTTAATATTTTTTAAACAAAAATTTTGGTAATAAATCCCATATCATAAAACTTTCATTAGTCACAAAAAATACTTACTTCTTCAGATATCATCGCTTTTCTGGCCTTTAAGGTTACAAAGTAAAGAAGTTCAGCTAAAAACACACATAATACCAAATTTTTTCGAATGGTGTTCGAATTTGTTTGCAACCCTCTAATTAGTGCCAGTATTAAATAAGTTCCTAGCAATAAAGGCAGGGCTATTGCAAAACTGCTGTAACTCGATATGTCTTCTAGGAGTGACGGTTCTGGTATGTACTAAACATATAATATTAGCTTAATATTATTAAATGAAAAAACTATTACCTCAAGATCAACCACATCGACTAACACCGCAAAAGTTGACAAATGATTGCAGCTACAATTGATCAAGAGCGGCTCGTTGAGTGATTTTTCAAACCAATCATTATCCACCTCAGTCCGACATCCCACTCTGGACCATTCTCCAAATCTTTTGAATTTTGTTAAGTTTTAAAACTGACTAGTTAAAATAATAACTAATACTTACCCCTTGACAGTTGACCAATGCACACACTGCGGATTAGACCTCTCATTAAACATGGTGTGATTAGAATTTAACCATATTTGTAGTCTAATGGGTATATCTAACTGAATATTGGACAAACTTTTATAGAACAGTTTTTTGCGGATGTTTTTATCCCGTTTCATTCTGTTATTTTCAGATCGAAAGTAACGAGCATCGTTTTCGTGAATTTTTACTTCTGGCTCCATAAACATACTGCCAGTCTGTTGAGGAATGTTAATTTCTGGCAGTTGTATGTCGTTGAAGTTATTGATAGTCTCAGTAGATTTTTCTATCGCATCAACATATTCAGGAACTAATACGCTAACAGTTATTAATGGGGAGCCCAATGTAAGATCAACTCCCCACCTTCTTACCACGGAATCATGATACGACTTGGGAAAAAGGCTTCCAACTTCGTTGTATTGAACATAACTAACAATAGCACTATCTCTCGAAACACTGTGTTTTGTGATGATTTCTCCAATTTCTACAGGCTTGATACCCAGTAAATGCAAAGGTAGCAAAATTCTGGTATGCTGATCAAATTTCGATTTGTCTAGGAGATAGTTGTTGTATTTTGGAAAGGCCACAAGAGGACCTTGACCTTGAGGAATTTTATTATCTTGCAGAAAGTCCGACGTGTCTGGTAAAATTACACTTTCTGTGGTGTACAGTTGTCTATGGACATTATAAGATGTAATTTCTGGTTCATATCCATATAGAGACTCGGGTGTAACTATGTCCAAACCCAAAACTAAAATGATAAAATAATCAAGATGCAAATTGCAGTTGTTTAAGTAAAAAAAGACGAATAGGCTATAAAAAATTCACGTAATTGAGTCAATTTGAAGTTGCAGTTTAAATTTTATAATAATAGTTTTATAGCAAGAATAAACAGGTTTTAATTTGATGTTCTATGGTAATTGTATTTTAATCGCTCTTCATCCGGTGCTTCATCGGCAATGTCCAGCAATAGAACTCCAAAGAAGAGATCATTTCTCAGAAGAATGCATATTTATGTAATTTACATATAAATAATTTGCTTAGTTAAAATAAAAAGTTATTCTTACCCACATTCGGTGATACAATTTCAAAAGGATTTGTATATGTGTCATGTTGACTTTCCAATAAAACATTGATATATTTTTCCAATAATCCAATTAGATCTTCCACAGAGTGACCAGTGAGGTGATTAATTCTAGTCCAGTGATCGGCGTATTTTTCCGAAAGTATTACATTGACTGAGAGGACAAGATTGCTGATGTAATCTTTGTCCTGACTGTGGGACAGATTTAGCCCGTGAACACTTGATTCATATTGCAGTAATTCCTTTATTAAATCATAGGCGATCATTACATCAGCACCATACAACAATTTCGAGGAATTTGTCGCTTTCTGAAGATCATGCCCTAGTTTTACAACGACGAAGGTATTTAGAGGAAGATCTCCAGATTCAATATTCGAAAGCTGATAAATGAGAACACGTAAATAAAATAAAGTAAAATGGTAAATTTCTGTACCTGTTCTCTTAAATCCAGAAACGAATCCGATGTGCAATTAAACATATCCGGCTCTTGCCAACCTCCCATTTCATTATCACATTTTCTGGACACTTTACCATGGGAACCTTTCGGACACAATTCAATAGCTTCGAGGCCAAAAACGGTCCTTGGCCACCAAATTCCATGTGTTGATGATCTTGGGCATCCATCATAAACCACTATTATAAAGTGTTAATTTATATCACATTTTAAAAAAAAATACGTGAAATAAATGGTTGCACTACAATCTGACAGGCAAAATTGTTTTATCTGTTTACTTTTGGACAACAATCGTTTTTTTTTTCCATCATTTCCCGAAACCTTTGTCTTTCTGAACATTTTCATATAAAACCATTTTTGCGCTTTGACGGTTGAAAATGTGATATATCGAAAAGACTTTTATTAAGTGTCCGACCCAATTCAAACAAAAAATTTTGATAAACGTTAAATTTTAATATTTTGAATTCATTGGTTTGAATATGCTTTAATCCTTAGTTACTACAAAATTGAATCTAGAAGACTTAACTATAGGGGCGGACTAGCTATAAAAAACATACCGCTCAGTTTTCTTAATTCTTATTAGGTTTTAAATTTTTCTGCTCACGACACGGAATAAATAGAAGATTATTTTGTTTGATTTAAAACTGTTTTTTAAATTAAATATTACGTTTATACGTATCTCCAAATTTTCTTAAAAAAAAAAGGAAACATGGTATATTAGCGTGATGAACACTGAATATTTCTAAAAAAGTCTATCGATCCTTCAAATGAACTGAGTTAATTACCCCTATAAAACCCTTATCTATTAATATATTTTTTATATAAAATCTGAATTGAAATTATCTAAATTAATTTTATACCCTATGAACTTAAGTTAAAAAAATCAGGATTGATTGTTATCGACCATGTCGAAAATATCGAAAACTTCAGGCTAGTGTTTAAATTATTTCAAAATGCTGGGAAGATTATTCGATACTAATTTTGTGGTGTTTACGACCCCTATATTCAATTCATTTTGTACCTACCTGTTTATCATTATACTTTATTTTTGTGGATCTTTATAAATTTTCTAACAGAATATTTTAAAAGTGCTAATTTATTTTTTCACATTTGCATTTTATTGATATTCTTTGAAAATATTTATTTTTGTTCGGATAGTTTGTCTTAAAAAAAAATAGAAGCGTTTGTAAAACAAACATTTTACGTACACAAATAAAAGTAAACATCTTTTATAATAAAACAACCAAAAACCTGTATATTGATAGCGGTCAAAGTTAATAGTTAAGTTGCTACTAACCTTCACAGCCTTTCAAAGTAATCTCCGCATAAGAATTCGGGCACGAGTCACACTTCTGTCCTATGACACCCTCCTTGCATTTACATTCTCCAGTTTCATGGTCGCACTGCGAGTTGTACGATCCCACGTGGTAACAATCGCATGGAATGCATTCAGTCGATCCCTTGGGCTGATAGTGATTCTCTCGGCAATGGCAAGTTCCAGTATTTTTGTCGCAATCCGGATTGTAACCAGCGCCGACATCACAGTCACAAGGACCGCAAACCGGAAATCCCCACCAACTCGCCGGACACGGTTGCGTTCGTTTTTCTTCGCAATATTCACCAGAGTAATCAGCTGAGTCACAAACACATTCATAACCTTTTTTGAACTGATTATTTTCTTTGCATACTCCCTCGTTGTCGCAGGGATTAATAGTACATATCGGAATACAAAGTGCTCCTACATGGCCCGTGTTGCATTCGCACTGAGATTTACCCCAACTGATCTTGCACCAAGACGTATCTGGGCACTCGTTTTGGCACTCTTGAATAAAAAAACAACCTTCTTCGACATTATCTTTGACTGTTGGTCTGTTGAGACTGCTCTGTTGATTCCCAATTCTAACATCTTGTATGCAGCCTTCCAAATAACTATAGCCGGCATTTAAACTACTGTAGGTATTATCTGGCCCTCCCACCAGTATTTTTCCCACATACAAACCCTGTATTTTTTCAGGAAATGAAATTAATTCGCTGTATTCGCCGTAGTCAATAGACAATTTTATTTCTGTTCCTAGCCATGTAACTTCTATTCGGTGCCATTCACCATCCGAAAGAAACATCGAATTTAAGGAAATGGTTTCCTCATTGAATGAGTATACTAAAAACCCTTTCTGCAACGATACGACCGCAGAACTGTTCTGGCCCACTTGCACCGACATCAAAAAAGTATCTTCTTGTAATGTCCTGACTGATAATCCATTCAGCCAAGGCAATTGAATAGGTCTTAACAAAGGGTTGAAAGAGAGAGTTCCATCTCCGGAAAAGTGCCACGGATTGCCAATGGTTTGGGAACAGTCTTTACCGCCATAACCTTGCGGACACACACATTTATATAAAGACCACCCATCGATGCATGTTCCCCCATTCTTGCAAGGACCCGAGTTACAGTAAGAGCGTTTCTCTGGGCAACCGATAGATGTTCCATTATCGGTCACAAAAGAATTTAAATCGATGAATTTATGATCTATGTGAAAATCAGCGATACACCCTTCAAAATGGGTATTTTGGATTTCGGAGCGGATTGAGAATTTCGGTAATCCACCCAATTGTAGCGGACCCGTTAAGTCCAGAAAACGATAACAGGTTTCGGTCAAAGAAGCGCACCTAGATTCTAGCGAATGTTCTACGTACGAAGCACACGCCCACTTACTGCCTAGCTCCTTGCCGTGTTTTAATGCAAGTGCCGTGTCACAGTCGTCGATAGAAAGTGTTACCGTTTTATTGTAGTAACTGACAGTCGCTGTATGCCATTTACCATCCGAAACTCCACCCGGCCGCGAAGCTGTTACTTTTGTAACGGAACCGCCAAGAGAAAATTGGAACTGGACATCTCCCTTTTTGATTTCCAATGCTACGAAATCGTGTTCTTCATTATATCTTCCATTGTAAAGGAGTAGCCCGTTTTGAGAGCGTGTTGCAAACTTCATGTTCAAGTGCAACCTTTGCCTTTGTCTTAAACTAGGAAAAGTCAAGAACGATGACTTGGCGAAACTTCGACTTTTCAGTTCGCAAAAAGGAGTATAATGTTCCAGCGGAAATGCACATTCGTCACACACGAATGAACCGTTCTTATCCTTCGAACTGCATACAATGTCTTTTGTACATGTGTCCGGTTTGCAACTGTCTGCCTCCATTGGCATCTCGCAATTTTTACCGGCGTAACCACTAGTGCAGACGCAAGTATAACCTCCTTCCTTAATTTTACATGTCCCATTATTCTTACAAGGAGATGAGTAACACAAATTCACTTCGGTGTCGCAGAGGTAGTGCTCCCGAGATCCGGTAAAGCCTTTGGGACATTGACAAGTAAATGTTGTTACTGGATAAATAGGCCTAAAGAGAATCGTGTCACTGTGTACAAAACCTGAGGCGTTACCAAATTTTAAGACTGTCACACATTCTTCAAAGTTCAAGCACGGCTCCTGGACGCACAGGTTGTCGATAAAAGGTAAAATTTGTACTGTTGACAGTCTACCTAGTAAACCCATATTTAAATATACTTTCTCTTGTAAAAACTGTATAGAATAGTATGCCTCTTTAGGTACGTCAGGTCTCTTAACTGAGAAACTCACATTTAGTATTTTGGATTTTACATTATTATCGTCTTGTATACTAAACACAATAACGTTCTCCCTAGGGCACGGAATAATGGCAGCCAACGCATCAATAAAATATTGCAGTAAGGGCGACAAGAACGCCTCTTTAGTCATTTGATTCAGCTGAACTGTTATAGAATTGAGAAGCATATCTTTTGTAACCAGTCTTACGGTAAGTTGCATAACGGCTTTTACTTCGTTTATGCCGTCGTTTACAGAGACTTCCATGGAAGCGATTTTGGGAACGTTAGTATTCAATTGGGGCGATAAAATTAACTGTCCGGTGGATTCGTTCAAGGCCACCAATTTTGCATTGTTGCCAGATAGAATCTTGAAAACTAGCTTATCTGACACATCCGCGTCAAACGCGGGGATCCGACCGATAGGTCCAGTCGGGAAACAGTCTTTGTAATTGTTAAAGATTACGTGAAAGTCTTGCAATACCGGGGCATTATCGTTAACGTCAGTTACAATAATTTCTACATGCGTGTCGCTTCTCAGTGGAGGGCTAGCTGCTCTCACTATAATGTCATATTTTTTTTTCGATGTTTCATAATCCAGTTCCGTCATTGTCAATAATTCGGCCTTCTCTGAGCCTGGTCGCGTAATTAAAGAAAAACTTTGGCTGTCTTCGCCTCCAATAATCGAGTACTGCACTATAGCGTTTACTCCTTCGTCTGGGTCCTTAGCGTATATCTCACCAACGGTAGATCCGACGGGGCTATTTTCCGGAATATAAAAGACAAGTTTATCTGATGAGAACTCTGGGGGCGAGTCGTTAATATCTTCTATTCTTATCGTTACAGGCACCGAACTACTTAAAGTGGGGGACCCGCGATCAATAGCATATGCCTCTAGTTCGTAATAAGCGACAGATTCCCGATCCAAGCCTTTGTTCGTACGGATTACTCCACTAGTTGGATCTATTACGAAAGAACCGTCCTCCAAATCTTTCTCGCTTAGGGTGTAACGAATTCTACCATTTAATCCTACATCTGCATCAGTAGCCGCGACTTGGACCACTGACGTTCCTACTAAAGCGTCTTCTGGTATACTTCCTGAGTACGCCACCTGCTTAAAGACCGGATAATTATCATTAACATCGAGTACCGATATTTCCACATCAGTCGTGTCGGACATAGCAGGACTTCCCCCGTCTGTAGCCGTTACTGTCAACAAATACCCCGATATTATTTCTCTATCAAGCAGTTTCTTTGTAACAACTGCACCGGTTTGTGGATTGATTGAGAATGCGGAATCCGAACTGAGTTCTTCCCCAAGTGAATAAGTTATTTGCGCGTTTAAACCTACATCATTATCTGTGGCTGATACGACCAATACCGTAGTACCAACAGCGGCGTCTTCGTATACACTGCCAGAGTAAGGCGCATTTTCAAAGACTGGAGCAAAATTGTTGGCGTCTGTTATATTAATATATACTGTGGCTGTATCGGTTCTACCGCCGGAATCGGACGCAGTTACGGTTAATACGTAACGTTTTTCTTGTTTATAGTCCAGCGGCTGCGCCACAGTGATTACTCCCCGTCCATTCTGCGACGTTATGGCAAATCTTCCTCTTACGTTGCCGTTTGTAATTTCGTAATGAATCCTGTTGTCTTCGTCGGCATCGGTTGCGGTGACGGTAGTTACTGGAGTTCCAGGAGATTTGTCTTCCGCTACTACCGCTTCGTATAGCTTCGGCTTAAACACCGGATCGTTGTCGTTCACATCCTGTACTGTGATTATTACGCTGGCACTGGCAGATAGTGGTGGAACGCCCTTGTCGGTGGCAACTACTTGGAACATAAATTTACCCTGGTCTTCTCTATCTAATTCTTTGGTGGTATAAACCCAACCGGAGTGCGAATCCACCGAGAGTGGTAAGCCAGTAGTGCTGGCTCCCGTACCATCCCTAGGGGCTATAGTGTACATTATTTCCGCGTTAGAACCTTCGTCGGCATCATACGCTTGTACCTTCACGATACTGTATCCACTTGGAACGTTTTCCTGGACGCTCTCTTGGAAAAGAGTGGTGTAAAATCTAGGAGCGTTGTCATTAACGTCTCTAACATTGATCAGGAGTTGGGTTGTGTTTGATTTGGAAGGACTGCCGCCATCTTGAGCTCTTATAACTAACCGATAGTTCCTCAAGATTTCGTAATCCAGAGCTTTTATTAACGACACATCTCCAGATAAACTATCTATTGTAAATTGGGACTGCGTGTTACCGCTTATTATTGCATATCGTATTGCGGCGTTGGCTCCCTGATCTGCGTCCGTCGCTTTGATATGCGCCACGACAGGACTCTCGCTCCAATTTATATCTTCATTTAATGTAACCGAATACGTTCTTTCGGAAAATTGCGGATAATTATCATTATCATCCAAAATGTTAATTACTACACTTGTCGAGGAAGATTTCCGGGCCGACTGCGGTGTGGCCGAATCGATTGCTTCAATTACCAAAGTATAGACCTCCGTCGTTTCCCTGTCTAAAGTAGTTCTAGTCGTAATAACGCCGGTTTTCGGATCAATCTTGAAAGCCTGATTATCTTCTTCGTCGGACGACATACCACCTCCATTGACACTCTGAATGGAATATTCCACATCGGAGTTTTTGCCAATGTCTTGATCAGTAGCTTTTAAAGTAATAACTGTCGTTCCTACGCTTACGCTTTCCCTTACACTTGCGTCATATTCAGTCATTTCAAATACAGGTGCATGATCATTGGCGTCCAATACATTGATCTGAAGCATCGTCGTTCCTGATCTCGGAGGGAAAATGTTATGCGTCGCCGTGATACGAAAGTAATGTACGTCGACCAATTCCCTGTCTAACTGGACTCTGGTACTGACGATTCCCGTTTGGGGATCGATGTCAAACATACCTTGTGTTCTGGAGTCTAATAGGCTAGTCATCGAGTAAGATATGGGATTATTTTCGGGATCTCTGGCCTTAACGGTAGTAACCACCACCGGAGGCTCGCATTCCTCAAGAACGCTCGCAACGTAAAGGTGTTTCTCGAAAAACGGAGACTGATTACGCAGTTCTCGCCTAACTCTACGTGCTATATCGGTATCATTAAATTTTTGGTGATGGTAAATAATCTTTAGTCTGTGCTCGGAATTCAGAATGCTTATATTTTTGCACTGGGTTGTAAATGATATGGAAATTTTCCACATTGGTTCTACTATACAAACGTCCCTACTTGCCACCAGGTCTCCCTGGCTACGTTCTATTTTAAATCTGTCGTCGCTTACATAATGGAAGTCCACTTGGCAGAATTTTGTAATAGTATCTGGTAAGAAGCTCAAAATTGAACTGATAAACTGGGATTGTTTTAGGCATATTTTCTTCCATTTCCCAGCGGAAGGTATTGCGAAGGACGCGTAAGTTTCTGATACCCATTCCTTGGCCTTTCCGATTTTTTCTTTTACAGAAGGATGAACATGACTGAATGGATTCCAATTATTATCCGCTCTAAAGCTACGCCTTTCGCGACTAAATTCGTCCAAATGTTCCAAAGTTTCCTCCGAATAATCTGAACAATCTTTTCCGGTAATAAATATCCTTAATGGTAAACTGTAGTATTCTAAGTCTTTCAGTCTTTTCGAAAACGAGTTGATAAATATGGTGAAAAGGTTAGGATAAAATATCCCATCACATTGTAACCGTTGCTGTAACGATATGTGTCCACTTTTTCTATCTACGTTTATCAGCGATTGAACGAACGGTGCTGATCGCCTGGTATCTAATTCGTAATACCTGTCCGATCCGGAATGCTTCACGGAGACATTGAATAGAAGGTCGCCTGCCTGGACGCTTTCTTGATCTACTAGCAAAAGATAGGCGCCTGATAAAGAATAACATAATGCCAGTGATAAAATCGAACAAAGTAAATTAATGTAGTTGTTGACACCCATGTGATGACGAGAACCGGTCATATTTTCTTAGATCAGACGTACCCTAACTACTACAAAACTTCCGATGCTGTCCATGGTAATTCCTCTCTTTTATCTGAAAGAAGGAAATGCGTATCTTTGATTACTAATTTCAGTGTTAAATACGCCATTTAGATACTTCAATATACCTAATCAATCTTACTTTACACCAAAAAATAATACGAAATTGCAAAAATGCAAAATTTATTATTTCTTGCGTTTTGTAAACAGAGATTAATCTGCACAGGTTTAACAAAATGCATTACTCAAAATAAAGATCAGCAATATATGTTAAAAAATTATTACAAATTTAATACGGACAGGAGGAAGACATAGCTTAAAATTACGTATGAACGTTTAGTTCACAATCAAGGGTGACGTATGGAAACAAAATGAAAGAATATCATATGGAAAGAAGAAGAAGAAACTGCACCCGGCTGGGACCTTTTTGTTTGGTACACACTCATAACCTCGGTTTTCACTATAAACTTCAAACTTCAAAGCTTCAATTAATTTAAATGGTTATTAGTTATTAGGTTGGACCACAAAGAAGACTTGATTGATAATTATCTCTGATAATTTGTCACCACCCTGTATATCAGTACTGTGTTTGTTTTTTCACGGGTTAGGGTTACAAACAAAACTGTTTGTGTTTATGTCTTTTCTATAAATTAAATAAGTCCCTTCGACACAATGTCCCAAAAGAAAAAGACTTACCCAAATTATTTTTTCTTAAAATTAATTAGAAATATAAATTACATAAATTCAAACGTTTCGATGTTTCCATGATTCACACAATCAGAGTCTAACACATTGATTCTACACCTATACTAAATTAAAAAAAAAAGACTCGCGAAGCAAGTAGGGCTTTTTTATGAAGCTCTTAAAAATTCCGCGAATGCACAAATGGCCATCATCCAGCTGTAAAAAACTATTGACGAAGCTATTCCAAAAGCGCTTTTCGTCCACTTCATCACGTCACAGACAACAAAAAAGAACGCATCTGCAATTTTCAAGCCTTCTATTGTGTTTTAAGGGATCCTTGATCAATAGGGTTCCGTCTACTTGTTAGGTTTGCCGGCATTTACCAGGAAAAAACTTAACCCAAATGAGGGATCGAGAGAATGAAAGGTTTCCCGGTGAATCATACTATTCACATACCTGGCCGCTTATTATAAATTCGTGGACAAATTTTATGTAATTAAAGAATAATTATAAATTCAATGAAAAATTAATTCGTGTGAAGTGCGTTATGTGAAAAATGGGAACCGAGAGCAATTTTATTATTGAGGCTTTGGCGCTGGACCCTGCTATTAAAAAACGATTTTTTTTACACCATTTGCTTCTTTATATTTTGCACATACATTTTTAAATTTTGCACATGTATCTACACTAATATCTGGTTATCTATAAATCTAGTGAGCACCATCAACAAAATTTGTTCTATGATTTTGTCTGTCACATTTTGCAAAGTATTTTCAAATTTTGGACACTTTATTAACACAATAATTTAAGTTAAGACCATCCACAACGCTTAACTCTAATACTAATACTAATACGGGATGCAAAGGGGTCATAAGTTTATTGAAAAATGGTAATTTAAAAATATGTTTCAAAGGTTGGGTGGTCAGGATTGAAAGATAAAATATTTTTATTTTAACTTAACCGTCGTCGCTACAGCCATTTTAAATAGAAGAACACAAAAAATGTTAAAACTTCGTGTTTTAGATTTTAGGGAAAATGATTGCTTACGATGCCTTTTTTGTTAGCTCACTTGATATTATATGGTCCAAAATATTTTGTTCCAAATAAAATATTTCGGGTTTTGTCTCTTTACGAATACGAAAGTTTAATCTTTTTTGATAGTCCTTAAAATAACTTGCATATTATTTAAATTTTATTTTTTTTTATTTAAAAGATTTACCAAATTTTCTTAAACCAAGATATCAGCCTTTTTATTACCGTATTATTTATTTAATTTCCAAAGTAACGTTTTAGGGTAGAAACCAACTAGGTAAAAGTCTCGTATAAAGTTATATGAAAAAATCATATCAGCATTCCAGTTTGAGTAGAACGAGTTATGGTTAAATTCAGTAGTCTAGTGACAATTTGATGTTTACCTAACAGATGAAATGTAAATAAAAAACATAGACTAAGTTTCTGTTTGCATGATTTCATATTTAACTAAAATTTGTCTTGCCTGCCATCAAGATTAAAATTTGTCTAAAATGCACTATTATTGTGTATTTTTTGTACTTAAATTTGGATACCGGGATGGTAAATGGTTTTGAGTAGAAACGCAGTGATTTGAAACAATTCAGGTTACCAACTTTAAGATCGTTTAAAAAAAATGAAATCAAATTTTGCAGATGCGGGTTTTGATTAGATTTGATTAATCAGGCGTTGCCAAATTTTATATAAAAAATCACTTTTACTTTACTGATGACAATGAAGTTCAGACAATGAAAAACTAAGCGCAGTTTTAAATTTTGACGACCAATTTAGAACTTCTAAATAAAAATTGTTTTCAGATTTTAAAAATCCCGGAAAGAAAGGTTTCGCTATGTCTATATGAACCTTCCCATCAAAATTTTGTCTTTAAACAATGCGAATAACATATTTTTGAATCCCACTATACAAAACTGTCAACAAATGCTTCATGTAAATAGAAAGAAATTTAAAGGTCCGTCAGTAATATAATTAATTGCGTATGGATTTTCATTCATATACAAATTAATATGAACTTATCTGCAATAGCAAAACTATCTTGAAAAATGCAAAACCATTTTATTTGTAAAAATAAATAATAACAAAAAAAGAAACAGTTAAGACCCATCACATTCCGTAAATACCAATGCACTTTATAAATGAAAGTGGACCCAAGAATTTGTGAAATACGTAAATCAGAAAACAGAACATTAAAAACTTACCTTTATTTCTTAAAAAACATTATAAGCACTATAAACTATTTGCTAGAAATTACAACTTAGTTCACACTTCACACCAAGCTTATGCCATTTTATTGTAAGAAGCTCTCTCCCTTTTCCTCGCAATTGGTCAGTTGAGCCACAGACAACGAATGTTGTGTTTCAATATTTTTAAATGTCAGAGCAAAACTTCTTTCTTATACGTTTTTAGAGAAGGATATCCTCAGCCACCCTTCTCGCACTAAAGTGAAAATATCAAAGATAACGAATTTTTCCCTACAAAAAATATTTCTACAGCAACCAGGCATTACCATTAAGATCATGCGCCCAAAGCACTCATTGTGGAACGCTCGCACGGTAAATTGACCAGTAGTGACGTAACGTACGTAAATACACTTTAAAATAAGTGTTATGATGTGTATACGTGAAGCAAACAATTATTTGGGCTTTTAACGCACTAAATTTATCTTCAAAGGTAAATTTCTGCTGTATGCTTTCAATTATTTGATTCTTTAGTGAAGATTGAAAATAACTGCCGCATTTATTGTATTTTTTCGTCACATTTTATTTATTTTATTTACACTTGTCGAAATTGTTAATTTATTTTTTTTTTTAATTTGTTCGACTCATTTACCTAAGCTGTATAAATTAGTAATAGTTTTATATTTTTTATAAATCTCTTCCATAATCTGTTTTAACTACTTTATAATTTGAAATAATAGCATAACTTGTACTTGTAAGAAATAAATATTGACTAAATTATAGAAAAGCACTCCAGGCATGTATGTTTAGTTCTACTTATATAATTATAATATTATTTTATTATAAAATTGTAAGGCGGGGCCCTCTGCTCATACATACATAGCATAATCGACTGTAATTATAATATAATAGTTCCGCAAAACATTGTTGTGCAAGAAGAAATTATACTTGAACATATTATCGACTGCAACTACAAATCGGTATACATTTTTCGATCCTGTGCCTCCGATAAGATATATATATGTACTTTGACTGATAACAGATTTTATTGTACAATCTATTCATTCAGAGATAATTATTGCGGAAGTGTGAAGTCGTCAACTATAGGTAAAAATTACCTGAATATAAGATGTGACCTTTTTGCACTCCTATGTTGTTATACAATATTAATATAAAACAACGTGCATAAAATATGGTCAAAACCAACCGGGGGTACGTATTTGCTTCTGCTGTTATATCCGCCGCGGGGGTAGCCCTTACTTTGCTGTCTCTGTCCACCGAAAAATGGATCCACGGACAAACCAGAGCAGATGAACTTTCGCCAGAACTCAGTGACGTCAACTATGGACTTTTCCAAGGAAACTTTAAGCAATTTTCTACTGTCAATTATCAAGTTTTGAGTAAGTCGTGGAGCGTAATTTTCTATAGCTACTATTCGTGCAAAGCTAGATGGTGTGAGTGAAAACGAAGTTCAATATTGTTTATGTTTCTACATATACGTTTGATGGAGCGATGCGGATGTCTCACTGTATATATTTATATTATATTATAGGATGTGCTAAAAGTGATAATTATCAAAATATTATAATATATGTATATTTCAATTCTCCGGTCAAAATACCTAAAAAAATGTAGTCACGTAACGAAGTTTAATTAATTGAATTTGAGAATAAGGTACCTTTGCTTCCAAATTTATTTTAAAAGAACTTGCTTGTTTTAAATAGGATTATTTTCTTATTCCATCAATGAATATCTTTTATAGTAGTAGGCACGCTTAGTAGTGCGTTTTCTTTTTATATTGGACGGTATGCATTAATTAAATTCTGCCAATATCGGACACTTTTGTATAAAAATAATTGGAAATTTATACTACCATAAAGCTATTTTAAATTTAAAATTAAAAACCATAAACTCTACGAACATCAGATTTTCGGTCATTATTTAATTGTGACATTATACAACTATGCTATTCATCATTCTTCTTGACTGGAAGAAGCGAATTTTCCTTTACAATACATTTCATTATAAAAGTGACGTGTGGAAAATTTGATAGAAATAGTAAAACCGCACTTTTCTGATAACAAAAAGAGACACGATATATAAACGTTAACTATAAAATAAACTAACGTTTTTCAATCAAGGAACCATTTTTATCAGTCACTCCATCGTTTATGTAAAGTCAAATTTTACGACATTGGTGTAAGTAAAAGTTAAATTGAAATAATTTTAGTGACTTGCTCGTTTAAACACAACGTATGCGCACTGCTTTGTGGTAAGGATGGCGACGAGAGGAGAACATTGTTGGACAATTTGTACGAAGGAAATATAGATCCCAGCTATAGCATGTCAAATTGCCCCGTAACTACAAGCGTTTATTATCTGCCCATTTCGGGATCCCATCGTACTTATAGTGGCAGTGCTTCGTCAGGTAAAACATGCTGTTACTTAGTATATTATTTAATATATTTTTACTCTAAATTTCAGTTAAAGTTTTGAATGTATTACTATCCAGGCTATTAAAAATTATTTTAATTTTTTCAGTTTATGTTCGTTGATATACAAAGGTCAAATTCCATTTAAAAATCGAGAAATGAATAAAAATATACCAAAAAAGTTAAGACTCCATACTTATAATATTTAAAATAGGTATATGTGGGGTGTTCATTAAAATACTGTGTATAAAAGCTCCAATATTTTTTTAATTTTTGTCGTATTAAGCAGCTAGAAATATTGCTGTTTAAAACCTCACAGATTTTATTTATAATAATAGAATGAGATACGAAAAAATTGAAAAAAAAAATTATAGGTGTTTTTATGAACTTTTTGTCTTAAAATCAAGCAAGGAATTGTCCTTATTTATTTATTTTAACACCCTACGTGTAGATACAAGGCTGCTGAAAATTAACACATTCTGTTTTTCCTAGGCACACTAAATCTCGGCATATTTTGCTGTCTAGTAACCACCTATATTCCTACTTATAAAATTTCAAAATGTCTGTTGGGTACAAAGAAATAATGAAATAAATGTATAAATGAAACTACTGTGGTCAAAGACTTAAATGCTGTAATTAAAATTTATAAATAATTAAAAAAGTTATTACAGGAAACTTAAAATGTTTTAATTAAAATTTTGAAATAAGTAATAAAGTTATAAAAAGGACATTTTCAGTTTTTCTCCGAGACCTTGAGAGCGGATTAGAATAGTTTTGTTATAAAGTATGTGCAACTAATATATCTTATTTGTTTCCAGATATGAAATTTCTTAACGCTGGGGTGTGGCTTTGTACTGTAATTTTCATAATTTTATCCATTTCCACTGGACTCTTTTCCGCTGGGTTGGCTCTCTACAATACCGTTGCAAATCCCATAGAATTCTTTCTTAGGTAAGAAAAGTAAATATATAATTAAAATAGTATTAAAATATTTCTCGATAGATAGACAAGGATTGACTCTGGTCAATACTGGCGTTACGAACTGCCGTTGTCGTTGTTCACAACGTTTTTAGACAATGGACTAGTTTGACAGACATTCTAAGAAACTTATATCTTTTTCAAATATAATTTGAATTTTTTGTTCGCTTTTGAAGGTGTCGAAAACTAATGTGTCCTAGATTTTCAATTTTATACCCATAAAACTAACGAAATGATTTTTTATAGTGTCAAAAGTTTATTTATATATAATGGACTGGCGTGTGGATTTATTATTTTATATCTGATTTTGTGGGGAGCAATGTACAATATCGTTATTATACACAACGTGGGTTTATACTACACGCTAGTCGGTCAAATGTCCTCTGATAAAATGGTGTATTTAGGATACTCGTATTGGTAAGTATTCGTTCATATTTCCTTCAAATTTTGTTTTTTCTATATATTTCATTTACAAACGATTTGTGTGTGCTATAAAACCAAATATTTATAAGATAAAAAAAATACATTTTTGTTTTGCGTTAAATACAGGCGAATAACTGCCAACCTCAAACTATGCCGGGTGATTGATGACCGATAGTATGTTAGACGGTTACGGAAAAAAGATATTTATTTTTTTTTAATTTGGATACTAAAGCATTCTACCGTGCTCTAGCAAATTAAAATATTTTGACCAATGCAACATTGTTATTTAAATGGCAAAACCCCTTTTTTATTATATTTTATAGATTACTGCTTTTTCCATATTATTAACCGTTTAAAATTAATGATTTTGGCGTGATACACAAAAAATGATGAAGAATGGTCATAATTTTAAAAATCGTTATCTGAATCTCAATTTTTCAAAAACTAATTGTAAACTTTGGTAGTTTATAACCTAGGGGCAGAGAAACATAAACAGTAAAGTTTTTGGTGAAACGTGATCTTTTAAATCTCACAATTTACAAGGAAGTGATTAAATTTTATATAAAGAAACTGTCAGTAAAGATTTGCTTGTTGAAATATAATAATATCTAATAAAAAATATAACTAATATTAAACATATGAAAATGCTTGTGCTGGCTCTGACATCATGATCAATGAGAGCCCGTTAGGGAATTTGAATCCATAAGTACATTTTTTTCTTTTTTATTTGCTAGACGATTTATTATATTAGTAATACTATTTTGTGATCATACGTTGTATCGTTGTATTGTATGTAAATGTAAATTTTAAAACTTCTAAATGCTTCTTGAGACAGTAATTGAGGAACTCCTGTTAAATAAAATAATAACTAATAATGTAATTTTATACATTATTTTTAAGAAAATTCAATAACCTTTTATAATTTTTAATAACATACAAGCTTCATGAATTAAAAAAAAGTGTTTACCCCCTTTGCATGTCACCTTAGAATCATTAATTTTAAAGAACCCTATATACTATGGAATAAATTTAACTAAGTTCTAGATAAACCTAACATACAGGGCTCACCAAACTATAATCAGTATTCCAGATTTCTATAGGTTTAAATGGAAGCTAGATTAAAGTTTAGATAATTTCATATTTTGGAGAGACGAAAAAAATAATACTGCGAAAATAGAGATAGATATAGGAAGGTATTGAGCAATAATAATTAGAAGAGAAAACTAAAAATGTAATAAAACATAGGGCAGCCCATAGGATCTTGTTGTCCAAAATATTTTTGAAAACAAATTTTTAGAATCTATATATGGTTTCGTCATGATCGACCATCAATTACCTGTTATAAATAGCCTATTTATTTGTATAATTTTTAGGATCAACTTTGGACCACTTGTGGCTTATACTTGTAGTGTTGGACTGTTGTATTATCGAGAATATTTAAATGCCAAGGATCCGAAACAGAAAAACGTGATTTTGGAAGATTCTGCCGATCCAAATATATATTTGTACTGATTCGTTGGTTTATTAATTTAAGAGTCACACAACTTGACTTAATTGTACTTTTTTGATAAAACGCGATAAAAATGAAACCTTTTATAAATAAATCTTATAAATCACGATTGTACCTAAATGTAAGGATTAATATTAAAATTGTAGACTTAATCTTCATTGAATATAGGAATTGCGGATAAAGAGATAAGGCCGGTATTTATGGTTGTACATTGTTCAAAAGAATTTATAAAAACATGGTTTTTCAAATTGGATTCTCGACATTTGGGATCTCGCAAATAGTAGAACATACCATTGGCATCGATGAGCCCGATAAAAGTACTTTAAAAGTTATCAACGTCGCAAGATCAGGAAATATGGTGGGCGAACTAAAATTTCCGTATTCTTCGATTTTATATTTTTACAAGTTTGTTTTTACATTTTCCAAACATATTCTCATTGAAACTATTTGAGCTTTTTTTCTGTCCAAGTTATAAAAACCCCTTATGACGTGTTTCTTAAACCATCATAAAGTTTAAATTTTTTATGGATGCCCTCTTGGATTAGACATCTGAATAGATCAAAGTTGATGTTTAATATGTTAAAAACTGTGGCGGGTCGTATTTAAGATTTCAGAGAAATATGGTTCTATATAATTAAAATTATACAAGAATTGACAAACCAAAACTAACAAAAAATTATAAAAACAATTCTATCGAAACATGTTTATGCAGCAAAGAAGAATTATCTTTTTACAAAACTGCGTCGTTTTTTGTTGAGTCGAACTTGCTAACGTTTCGCCAATCATCCTGTTGGTTTCCTCGGAGCTTAACTGGATGATTGGCGACACGTTAGCTAGTTCTACTCAACAAAAACCGAAGCAGGAGGAAAAATTAAGAATTATCTTCTAGTATCCGTTAAATATATCGATGACGTAAATGATAATTTAACGATTTTCAGATTTTTGGCTTGGCTAACATACTGGAAAATTTTCTTTTTTATTTTCTGTTTACTAAAAAATGATATTAATTTTTCTAAGATTGATGAAAATGTCATGTGTGTGTGTGTGCACTAACTTTTTCTTTAAAATCATATTTTGCCTTTCCTGTAAAATTCAATTTTTTCAGGCCATCGATGTTTGTTTTGATCTTTTTTTCGGGCCATTTTGAATGCAGATGTTCTGATGTATCTTTAAAAAGGCAATTCGACGTAGAATATGATGCTATAAAAAATATACAATACAAATATAAGTATATGCTAAGTTGATATCAGTTCCGGACAAAGCAGGAAATTTATTAATTTTAATGTAAATCGTTATCTCCTTCAACATTACATGTACTGTAATAAAAAATATAACTATTGAAAAATATTACTATATACTGCTGAAGCGGTTGAGATTCTTCCTCGTACTGCATTAATTTCAATTTTTTAATACAAAATGTCCTGACAGCAGTTTTGCGAATTTTGTCCTCCAATACCAAACACCAGACCCATTGGCATTTAGTTTTGACTATTTCTCGTTCGTATTAGGTCCCGATTGTCTTTGTTGTCATATACGTTAAATTCAGAACCACACGAAAACGCGAAGATCGTTGAAAATTTTCAGTTTTAAAAATTGTATGGGCGATCTACAAGGTTCTATTAGATAAGTAATTCTTTCTTGCACATGGAGGGAAATTTTGAACCAATAGAGCAGTTTCTTAATAAAAGTAAACATAAAAAAACAGTTCGTTAAAAACTAACCAAAATTTAATTCCAAATTTCTATATATATCATATATACCTGTGTTACTAATGGATCAAGATTTATATTTAGATCAAGCATTATCGATTACTTCAAAGCTAAATGCAAGTAATATATTTTTAAACGTTGTTAAATTTAAAAGGGCTATTAAAGAGATTGCTAAAAAGTTGAAATTATTTTATAATTGTTTTCTTAAACATCAGTCCGATTTATTTATGTGTCGATATGTCCAGATTCATTAATGTGTCTTTTATTCATTTATATCTCCATCGTTGATGCGTTTAATATACCTGGGCGTTTATTTTAAAGCTCAGTTCTATTATGTGCACCATGGTACACCTGTTTAGCTACATGTGTACTTTCAAGTGAGTCACGAACATTCCCGGAACGATCCGACCTTACCTGCCTACTTTGGTTTTTTGTGCCTCTCTCGAATGTTCACACGCCAAGTCTGAAAACCAGCTACGAACGCTTTCATCTCGTAGTTTTAACCTAAATATCTGATAATTAGTTAAACGTCTTTAAAAAGTGCAAAACTTATTGTTACTAGTTCGGCATTGTTATTAAAAGTTGGCGGACTACTGTCACTGAGAGACGTCTATACAAGTGCAAAACGTGAAACATTTGAAAAATGACATGCGAATCGGTTACTCGAACTTTGTAAAATGTGGAACGGTATTTTTTACGGATAAAGTGGTACCAAAAGTGTTAATTGGATAGAAGGATACTAGTGAAAAGTCTGGGTTGGGTGAAATAATATTCGGTGAGTTCGACAGTCGGTTAGGCGAGAAAATTCAACAGTTTTTCTGAAGTTTGCGATTCTTTTGTTTGTTTAAAGAATGTGCTGACTGCCATTGGTAATAAGTGGTAATATCGGGGTAGATGTGCTGACTTCATGATTTTTTTGGTCAAAATTAGCAAGAAATTGCAACTTTAAATGCAATGCGCTGTATTTGAAAATATTTTTACGCCTGTTATTAGCAGTTCCGGTTAAATTTTTCTTCCGGATTCGAAAACCGTATCGAATTTTTTCTGTCCGCGAGAGCTATTGAGGTAGTAAAAGAGTTCATTTAACAAATGGTAAGTTACCTGAGATTTATAATTCCGCAAATGTGACTTATTTATTTATTTTTATGTTATATTAGGTAAATAGATATAGGTTTTACTGATTACATTTATTCCTGAAGAAGAGAGAAAAACAATGTTGTCAAGGTCTGAAACAATGACAAATTTTTAATTGAGGCACATCCTAAATTAGACAATGCTGAATTGAAAATTAGTACCATAATCACGTTTGTGATTTAAATGGAACACGGTATCTAATTTATTTCCTTAATTGCTAGAGCACTTAATACTAATTTCAAATATTTTATCATTTTTAATTGTTAATTATAATTTTCTGGATTTTTTTTGTGAAATGATTGACACAAGGTATAAATCCAAAATTTGACGCAAAATTACACAGAATGATGATTTTAACCAAACTCGTTAATTCTATACACATTCCTCGTATAGTAGTTTAAGTCAAAAGGATGAAATGCGACACTTAGATAGATGGTCTACAATAACAGTTTTTCCTATAACTAAAAATGCAATTAAAAATACTGTCGACAATATATGTTTTACAAATTGAATTCCTCCAAATTGCAATTAACAAATTAAACTAATTATTAATTTTGCGGAAGTTTGTTTTATTCCAAAATTTGCAGGTTTCAAAAATGCGCTACATGGCTCTTGAATTACGTTTATAGGTGGTCATGACTGTGCTGACAAAACAAGGGAAAGGTTAACTTGTGATAGTTAATTACTAATGTTTTTTAAAATAAATTTAAAATATAAATTGGAATAAACAATTCTAGATAACTACTGAAAAAAATATAATTTTTACAGTCAATTTTTGAAGATTGACAATTGATTAATTAATATTTTAAAAGGCTTATTAACTATGTGATAAGGGCCTATGTCCTTCTCAACAAGTATTCCAAACAAAACTAAGTAATTAAAGCTTCCTTACTCGAATAATAATTAGTTAGAGCCTGCAAAAGTCACATTACGCATGAAATTTAAACCATTTCAATAATCATTGAAACTAACCAAAACTATTGGTACAGAAAATGTCTAATACACTATATCTAGTGCACTACATACATACACTATATAGTGCATATTCATAACGTCAAAATAAATCATAAACCAACGAGAAAAAAATAAAAGGTTTTTGTTCGTAAGACATTGGGTGTATTTTAACAACCTTTTTGCTTAGGAATAAGTTAACGGAATTATTTTGTTGAAAAGAAAAACTAAAAAATTACACTAAGAAAAGAATTATGACAGTTTGAAACCATCATTAGTGTAGCGTACGTTACAATCGAGTTTCGTTGTATACATTTGACGCCCTGTATTTTGAAACGGAGCTAATTTCGACTTATTTGATGTTTGGAATTAGATTAGATTAGATTAGATTATTACAACAACAACTTTTTGTTCTTGTGTATTGAACGTACATGGATATTGTTTAATTCCAAACTATTACGTCGTAATTATATTTTTGCAGATTTTCCCAGAAGTTTGGCTAAGTGGGCTCCTTTCTCTTAAATATACCTACACAATAACAGACTGAATCACAAATACTTGACTTAAAAACTTGACGGTTTATGGTTTTCGCGAAAAGTAATGGGCGAAAGTTACCTTACAGAATTTTTATAAAGGATTTTAAAAGTGTTTTTTTTTAAGTGTTTTTGAATTGATTATTCGTTTACTTGAAATTACATTAATAAATTATATTAATAAATTACGAACATATTGCCGCGCGAGACGTATCAATTTATTAGCTCCGCGTAATATTTGCATTGTCTGCCATTTTAATATTATGAAGCGCGATTGCGAAATTGTTACATCAGAATTTAATATTATAATTTTATAACGTGGCCACCTCACTCGATCAGTTCTGAAAAATCAAATACCAAATTTAGTCTGTCATAAAAATATACAAAATATGTTAAATACCACGGGATGTACTTAAGATATAATATATATATATATATATATATATATATATATATATATATATATATATATATATATATATATATATATATATATATATATATATATATATATATATATACTTAAGAAATGGTTCTTGGGTTTTTTTTTTGGTCCTTTTTTAGTGAAATTAAAATAAGTTTCCGTTACTTGTGAAACATTTTATTTTTTGTGACGTTTCGGCCTTCAAGACCTTCTTCAGACATTTAATTTTAACCTACAAAAATGTGTTTTTAAATAAAATTATTTATAGCATTGTTTTCCTGGTCATAATTAAAACATAGATAAAAATTTGTATAGGAGTCAGCATTGAAATGATTAAAAATTACTAATGCAAGTCAATAGAACAAACAAAGTGATTAAAAATTGTATAAAAATAGATGCACAACAATAAAACATACATAATTTTTTATATTACGATTACATACATACCTTAAGCCAAAAATCAACGGTTCACGATATAGTTGTTTGGTAATTTACAGTTTTACAACATTCACAACAGACATATTGAATATGTAAATCGACAAGCCACATTGATAAGACGACGAACCAAAACAATAATGCGAAGCCCGGATGTACGTTTCTTCACAGTAGGACAACGGAGTTTTTTTTTTTTCTAAAGCTTTTTTTTTTTTGTTTGTGTGAGATTCACGGGTTAATGTGTCTCTTTATTTAATTAAGTTGTGATAAATTTTGCTGAGATTTTTTGTGTCAGTCTTAGAGTTTATGGCGTTTGGATTTTTTTGGATCTCAATCATTTCATAAAATTCCCGTCTTTTTGTGTGCCTTTCTGAGCGTAAAATTTTCACACTTTGAAAGTCAAACGAGTGCTGATTTTCCCTGGAATGGCTCGAAAGAGCAGTGTTATTTTTTTTGTCATATTTATGGCCGTTTAAGCGACTTTTTAAGTATTGACTAGTTTGTCCGATGTAGACACCGTTACAATTTTGGCACGGTATTTGGTACACCAGGTGGCTTTTTTTCTCGTCAGGGATTTTTGATTTTAATTTACTAAAGTTTTGTTCTAATAGGTTATAACCTTTGTGTGCCACAGTAATGTCGTGTTGTTTGAACACATTGCACAAATTTTCCGATAGCCCTGGAACGTACGGTAATGGGAGATATTGTTTTTGAGTATTTTTCTTCTCGGATTTGTTACCAGCATTTTGATTGTAAAATTTATGTATCCGTTTATTGAAAATTTTATTTATTAATACATCCGGATAACAGTTTAATTTTAGGGCTTGTTTTGCTTTTTTAATAGCTTGCTGTCTGTACTCAGGATCGGACAGTTTAATAGCTCGGTCGGCTAAACCTATTATTACGGATTTTTTTTGAATGATGGGATGTTGGGAGTTGAAACTTACATACCTAGATGACCAAGTATCTTTGGTGTACCATTTGGTTTTGATCTGGTCTTTGCTGTGGTATAGAGTCAGGTCTAGAAAGTTAATGACGTTATTTTTTTCGATCTCTATTAAAAATTGAAGTTTGTCGTTGTATGAATTAAAATTCTCTAGAATATCATCGATTTCAGTTTTTGGGACAGCACTTACGCAGTCATCGACATAACGATAAAATAGGGGGATATGAAGATTTATATTTTTTAGTACGGATTCTTCCAAATCTTCCATTACTAACTGTGCAATAACACTGGAAATCGATGCTCCTATTGCACAACCATCGACCTGCCTGTAATATTTGTCATTGAATAAGAAATAGGTTGATGTTAATGTTAATTCTACAGCTTCAAGAAAGTGATTTAACGGAATATCTGTGAAATGTTTAATTTTTGGCCATTTTTTCTTTATTATATCTTTAGCTAAAGGGATGAGAATATTTGTGTATAGAGAAATGACATCTAACGAGATCAAAACATAGTTTTCAGGTATTCTGACATTTTTTATCTTTTCTTTAAAATCGAAAGAGTTTTTGATGTAATATTGATTTTGATTTATAACGTTTTGTAGTATATTTTTAAGGAACTTTGACAATTTTTCACAAGGGGATTGAATGCATGACACTATGGGTCTTAGAGGTACGCCAGGTTTATGTAGTTTAGGCAATCCATAGATTCTAGGAGGTAGTGCATTCTGTATTTTAAGATTTTTGGCTACATTCGGTGAAATAAAAAGTTCTTTTTCCCATTTTGATACCAGATCGTTATTTCTTTTTTGGAAAATGTTTGTAGGATCATTATTTATTTGTTTATATGTTTTGTCATCGTTTAGAAGGTCATACATTTTTGTGTTGTAGTCCTTTTCGTGCATAATTACGGTTTTGTTTGATTTATCTGGTCTTAATATTTTTATAGTTTTGTTTCTTTTTAGGAAAGCTTTTGTCTTTTTCAATTTGCTAGTAAAGATTTTTTTGTTTGTTTGGTTACTTTTTTGTTTAATAAAGTTATTTTTAAAGTTTGTAATTATGTTACAGGACAATTTTTCATGTAAGTACCTCGAGCGAAAATTCAACGAAATAATTTTAAAAACATTTGTTCGAAAAACCCTAAGCCTTCTAATTCCTGAGACGACCCATACGATAAACCATTTAACATCGGAAATCGAAAAAATTGAAATATTTTTGAAAACTCTTTTAGAACCGAATATTTTTAACAACTATGTATATATATATATATATATATATATATATATATATATATATATATATATATATATATATATATATATATATATATATATATATATATATATATATATATATATATATATATATATATATATATATATATATATATATATATATATATATATATATATATATATATATATATATATATATATATATATATATATATATATATATATATATATATATATATATATATATATATATATATATATATATATATATATATATATATATATTTATTTATTTATTTATTTATTTATATATATATACCCTAATTGTAATTAAATTGCTATATAAAGTTCTCATGCCTGTAATTATTGCAAATATTACATATTCACCTACTGATAGCGCTTTTGCATGGGATGGAACTTTTGAGCACCCTTGCTTTATTATTAATATAATTTAATAATATTTTAAAAATTAAAACGACTTCTTAAAAGATGGTTTAAATATAACCAATAAATACTAAGAACCTAGTTAACTATTTCATGTGGCAGAAAGTCCCATGTTAAACTAACCAAAACTAACCCTGAACCATCTCGTATTTACTTTTTTTTATGTAACCAATAAACCAGTTTAGGAATTTTTTGGTTTGTTCAGTTTTTTCATAACTTTTTAACTTTAACTTTCATTGTTTTAGATCGTTTTAATTAAATTAGTAACTTATTAATAAAAATTTAATATCTATAATATAGCTTTCTTTTCGTCATTAAATAGAATCTTCATATTTTATATCGAGTTTGGTAATCCGGCAGCCACTAAAACAGCTTTCTCTCTTTCTGGTTTCAGACCTATCTAAAAGTTACTTATTTACCTGGTTTTTCTTCAATTCAAGTAACCTAAGTATAGTTGTGTTGGATTTAATTTCATCATTCATTTCAAAACATTGTCACATTTGTCAAACATTTTCGTGTTGTGACGTACGATTCCAAGCAGCAAGCGTCTGCGTTGAGGTGTCGCGCAATGATGCAAATTTCATGGTAGTTGGAGAATATGTCCAATATCCTTAACCGCTTTTCGAATAATTTCGTACCGATATTTTAATAACATAGTTTAAATTAAAAGGGCTAATGCAAAGACCGGGTCGAAAATAGACATCCGTGTTTCGGGTATTGACGAAGCATCAGCAATTACAGACTAAAAGCGCAATTCTCGTAACTTTTTTTAATTTCTATTATAGAGCTCGTGCTTTTTCTGGTCTACCTTCCTTTTTGTCCTATTTTACCTTCATTGGAAGAGTTTGCAACAGGCAAGTCAACTTTTCAACTCTGTTGAAATTGTGAAACAAATCTCTTAGGAAAGGATAATTTTCACTTAAACATTGCTTTAGAAACTTTGTGGATTTCACATAATGATTTGTAACACACTCATGGTTTTACTTAAGCATAGCAAATAGTTCTGTAACCTGTCAAAGTCTGTAACTAAAATCAACAAAATTATTATAGTAGACAAAAAAGAACAGAGATACTATCAAAAGACAAAAATATTGTTATAAAACTGTAATCCATACTCTAAAAACATCTCCTATTATAAGAAGAGTAAATATGAGCACGAAATTTTTCAACGCTTACTGTTAAATACTTACACCTGCGTCATTAAATTATTAACATTAAACTAAAATGTTATTCGTGGTAGGTAACTTTCTAGGTAAAAATTTTCCATTGCAGACAAATATTTTAAGGACTGGCAGGATAGAAAAAATAAAAACCAAATCGAAAATTATTCGATAAAAGACTCCATAAATTTGTTAAAACAGATTTCATTTATAACTTTTGCAAATAGATATTTAGGGATATCCTCAATAAAAAAAACTAGTTCAATTTAAAAAAAGGCTTTCTATCCCTTTGAACCAGTGTGCGTCGTGGCAACCCCATGACCTTTATCATCTTGCTCCCATTCTTTTAAAAAACCTTGGAGTAATTTGCTCACACTTGAAATCCCTACGAAATTTATTTTTTTAATTGAACTACCTTTCACCAGACAGTATTTTTTTTTGCTGGTAAAATATACGATTGCTTGGCGGACTTGTGTATATTTAATGAATGATATGTCCGTGGACCGCATTTTCGAAAGAAAACAGCTAAGTTAATTGCTACCTCTTTATACCACTAACCACTAATACAATACAATACAATACAATACTTTTTCCACGAGGAGCGCCCGTTTATCTCAGCATAGACTATTCTACTAAGCTCCACGTTGGCGTCTTCGCGGGGTGCAGCGTTGCCGATAGGGAGAATTAATTTTTTTTTTAAATCAAGCCCGCAGCCCTTTTGTACTGTTGCAAGTAAAATGAACTATCTGTATACTTTAAGGAAATAAAAATATTATTTATGTTTGTATGTATTATTATATAATTCTGCAATATATGGAATTTCTATTAAATATGTGGACCGCATACAGACATACATAATATTTTGTTTTTTACATTTTAGATGGAGAAATTCCTCAAAGCCATGACGTATTCGTTATTCAGTTAGCGTCGGAAAATGGCAAAATTCATCAGAAGAAGTTTGATTTTTTGCACCTTCTTTGTCGCTAGCGCCGCTTTGGCCCTACTGTTGACGGCGTTGGGAACCAAGCATTGGGCCGAGGCGGGCGCCAAAAGACTGAAAAACCCCGTGGAAAGTGACGGAAAAATACATTTCGGGCTGTTCGAGGGCAAGAAAGAGCTCAACGTCGCATATGGGTGGAGAACATATGAAATCAATGGTATGCTGTTATGATTTATAAAACTAAAATACACGTCTTTCTAACTGATTTGCGTAAAGTTATGCAGAAACTTATTGTAGAATACCTTAATCTTGCAATGCAATTTTAAAATTTTTGTGTTTCTTTTTTTTTTGCTTTCCTTCTCAAGTTCTAGTTTTGGTTATAGATCGAAGGAAAATCTTATTAGCGAAGTTAATTTGTGTTTCAGTTAATCTGTAAATCTTATTCGAACATCTAGGCAGTGTCTAAGTAGAAATTAAGTAACACTAAACACTACTACTGTTTTTTCATAAATGTTTTTATTTATTTTACTTGCCAAGCAATCTCAAAAAATAACATATAGAAGTATATTTATACTTATTTTAAAGAACTACGAAGGGTAAAGTTTGTATTTTTGTTACAGTCATCAACATGCTCAAATATGAGCCGCAATTCTTAAATTATTGGTTATGGCTCGGAACTGTATCGACGTTATGTGCGAGTCTGCTTTTTGCCACATTTTCGGTAGTTTTCGCAGTGGTGAATACTACGACTACAACCCAAAGGTGGATGACCAAGGTATCTGGATTGATGCTATGGAATTTTCTTACTCGTAAGTACTTCAACGGTAACGGCAAAATATATATAAATATATAACATAACTTTTCCGCCATAGAGGCCAACAAAATAAAAGGTTAGTTCAATAAATTTGGTGTTAAAAAAATATTTATTTATTTTTTTTATATATTTATATAATTTCGAAGCTTCGGCGTAAAAGACAGTTAATTAAAAAATAATAAAAAAACTGATTAATCATTAAGAATAAGTTTTTTTTTATTATTTTTTAATTAACTTTCTTTAACGCTGAACCTTCCAAAATTTGATATTTTTCTCTGACTTAAAATCTTTCTAGCTTTTAGAAAATACTCATGCTTTTTCACACCACATTTATTGAACCAATGTTCTTATTGTGCAAAAAAAAAAACAAATATTAATATTTTGCAACTAACAAGAATATGGATAATAGTAAATTCATATTTTCTTCAATAACATATTAAAAATGTTGTGTATGTATTGTTTTAAATTTTTCTGAAATTACTACTTCTACGCTTGGCAATAATAATAGTAATGAATATATTTATTGTTGCTTTAATCACCTGTGTAAAATATGTATGCCATAAAATCGAATTTGAATTGGGATTTTTTATTTTTTGTACGTTTTAGAATTAGAATTAGAAGTAACTCCATAGGCATTTAGTTTTTATTAGTTTCATACAAGTTCTCGAAAATAAAAATCAAATCCCTTATAACTGTTAAATTTTTTGGTGAGTTAAGATCCTGTGCTGCGATCTGTAGAACCTGAATGTCTGGTTATATAGGAATTATCACCGGACTTTTTCCCATATATGATCTACTGAATACTGCAGATGTTTGGCGAACCTAAATCCGAATTATTTAGTTAATCGGTATTTCTCTCGGGTTTGTGGGATAGGCAACAAGGTATTGCGACTACAATTAATTTAAAGAATTAAAAAATTCGCGGTATTTCAAGAGGGCTTTGTATGATTTTTTTTAAATAAATTTGTCAAGTCCTGTATATTGCTTTATTACTTATTTATAGGTGCTTATAGGTGTCACGTGAATTTTACAGATTGAATTAAGCTTAGATTTTATACATTTTAAGTCTACCTTTATTGCCTCTTCTGTTTGCTGATGCAATAAGTACATTTTTTTTTATTGTTATTAGTATTAGTTTCTTAACCAAATCCTTTCGTTTGTCTAATACTTGTGCTGCATAAATGTTTTTCCTCTATATTCACAGTCTTAGGTGCCCTGTGCGGTATCGGCTTTTGGTTAGTTCAGCACTATACAAAAGTACAGTACAACGTTCTTTCAAGGGAAGACATGAGCAATGAATGGACTTCAGATGGTATGGCCGATCTTGGGTATTCATTTTGGTAAGGAAAATGAATGGTAACCCGATAATTTTTTCAAATTTGATAATTAAATAAACTTGACAATGATAGAGTAAGATAGGGACATAATTATTGTAAGGCAAATAATTTTGCAGGTTTGTTGTTGGTGCAGCATCAGCTTCATTTGTAAATATAGTGTTGTTGATCATTTCTACCACCGAAAAGGACATTGAAACGGTCATACCCGTTCTCGAGGAAAAAACGAATGGAGCAATAATGTTGTATTAGTTAAGATAAAATAAATGTGCTGTTACACATAATTTTGATACAACTTGTAAATAAAGTAGTTGATAAAAACAATCAATTGTATTTGTTTACATGATAGTGGTTAGCTTAAGAAATATAAGAAGAATAAAAATAAAATAAACTTCGTTTTAAAATTACAAAAGCGCTATTGAAGAAATAACCAGTTTCAAGTTTACTTCAAAAACTATTGTACAACAATTACAATTTAAAAGAGATTCACTAAGCCTATTTACCGAGTTGTTCTTGCAAATAATAATTCTGTTTAACAAATCTTAGTAGTCTCAATAACGAGGATGGCGTTACTCCAGGTATTCTACTAGCAGCAGCTATCTAAAAAATACAGTACACTAAAATTTCTCAAAATTAAAAAAAAAACTTATATTTCCCACATTTAAAAATAAATGATTGCCATTGGTATGTGTTTAAAAACCAATTAAACTGGATCAAAGAAATTTACTAGTAATCAACAAAAAAATCTACATTTAGACATTATTACGCAACAATATAATGTATACATCATTAATATATAGCAAGTGCAAATTTGGATCTATTTTATGTTAAAAGCCTGTAGTATTGGTATTTCCAAGGTGTGGTGCAATATTTTGACATTCTCTAAAGTCACTGTCACAGCTTCAACAGCAGGTAAGATGTATCTGATGTCTGATTCATAGAGATAACACATATTAGGCAACAACTTTGATAAATTCCATTGTTTTTGAGGCATGAGCGAAGTCAGTGCTTCATATAGGAGTGACTGAAGAAGTTTACCAACATGTTGCATACTATGCTTTGTCAGGGACCATTAGTTTTTACAAAACAGAAGGAACGTATAAATAGTAGCTTTTATGTCTGATTTTAATATCTTTTTAAATAACTCATCTTTGAGAAATAACTATATCATAAAAAAACTGAATTGAACTTACACTTTGGGGCTGAATATATGAGAGCTTTTCTTTTTCCTCTGAATTCAAACTCAAACTCTTCGAATTATAATCTAGATCCTTTGGAATCATTAACATTTCATCTTTCCTAATTTCCTCAACCTCTTCTCGTTGTTCAGCAGCCGCGCTTTCATATTGAGCTTCAATGCAAAGTCGGTTTTCTAGCATATGGTCGAGAGTCAAATGTTTTAATGCAGGTTCTGCCTCTGCTAACCTGCTTAGAGTAATATTCTCACTATAGACGTCTAGCATATCAAAAGCACTGAAAAATGCAGTTCCCATAACAAAAAGTACATATTCAGTTAACCCAATCAATTACCTTTTCCACGTATGATTTTTGCTTGGTTTTGCTCCAATCAACTTTCTCCACCTATTTGCCGATTTTTTTATATCTTTTAACAATTGGATACCTTCTTTTAGTTTCTGGTCAGTATCTCTCATCTTTAAATACCTTTCTTGTGATACACAACCTACTTGATAACCTTTCGGGGTCAATCGTTGGTCTGCATTGTCAGGACGTAATGTTAACCTACAAAAGTAAACCTCCATCATTTCTCATAAAATAGAATATTTTGTGACAGAACCTAAACTCTGCTCGGCTAGTAAACATTCTATAAGGTTCAGTAGTGCCTAAAGTAGTAAGGTCGTCAACCATCACTCCAATGTAACCTTCAGTCCGAGTTATTATAACCGGCGGCTTCTTTTGCACCTAGAAAGAACGCCCATCTTAGGATGACTGCTTATGATCGCTACTGAGTTTGGCCCAAATAAAGTCGATCTAAATTAAGTGTCTTTTACACCACTGGCGTCGGTAAAGCAAGTGGACTAGACACGTTTTTGAAAAATATGGAATCCATGACTTTTTCTTAAAAGAGAAAATCTTGTTTGTAAGCCAAATTCGATTTATTGCTTTTTTTAGACAATATAGAATATTGAAAACATTATTAAATCCTCCAGCTTGTAAGTAGAGTAGAAATACTAAGAGACTGAATTTCCATTGTCTTTTTTCTACCACCTCCAAACATCTGTCTAGATGTACTCGTTTAATTCCATTTTTTGGTTTAAATTATTTGCTAAAACGTGCAAATGATTTCGCAAATATTAGATTGTATTGATATTACATATATTGTAATTCATAATCACCCACTTTAACGATTTTCGTTCAATGTGGAGCACTGACTGAGAAATTACTCCTATGAAAACAGCTAAAAATCACTAATATTTTTTGGACGGACACAGAAAAATCCTATCATAATTAGAAATAAATCTTTGTGAATAACAGACACAGGAAGAAACTTTGTATAATTGCCTTCAATAAAACTTAACCATATATATCTCACTATTTTTTGGTTACTTTAGTTTACTAATCAGTAATATCTATATCACCCTATTTAAATTTTTCATATTATATAGATAGAATTGTCTAGACCCAGACCCAATATTAAATCAACTGAGGCAAAACGAAAACCATACAGTTTCTCAAACATGAATTTTTATCAAACAAATTTTTGAATAGGTATTCGACACGGTCCTGTTTCACACACTGCTGTGCTTCGTCACCGAGTGCAGATAACAAGTTAGGATCGAAGAAGCCATGTCTGATGGGAGGTGTGTAGAGAGTGGGGGTGCTCCAGGGATCAGTTCTTGGGCTGTTGCTGTTTCTGGTGTACAGTAATATGGCGACAGACATACAGAACAGAATAAGCTTCTTTGCAGACAACACCAAGCTGTATTGCAATGCCATATACATTGGAATCAACAACCCCAACAACAAATATACCCTGTCAGGCCAACCCTTCACAGTTACCAACCACCAGAAAGACCTCAGATGGGTGAGCCACATCGCTTGAACTCCTGGTACAGAGAGCATTTAAAGATCACTCCAGCCCAACCATCCTAAAGATATATAAGATTGGTGAAATAGTTCACAGTGAGTTCATGGAACCCTATTATGTCAAAGATATCGAATTGTTGTCCACCTACTGTCAAATGATAATAATAATAACAATCATAATAATAATAAATTGCCTTCACAAACATATATGGTTAATTTAGAAATTGAATACATACTAACTTTTGCTGCTGCGTTAATGCCAGCTAGTATCCCTTGTGCTGCTGCTTCTTCATAACCTGTTGTACCATTTATTTGACCAGCCAAAAATAACCCATTAACTCTTTTCACTTCTAATGTAGGATATAACTCCCTAGGATCTACAAAATCATATTCTACTCCATATCCAGGTCGCAACATTGTGGCATTTTCAAGACCCGGAATTGTGTGCAGTAATTTTTGCTGCAGGTCTTCTGGAAGAGTACATGACAGACCTGAAAATAAGGACAAGAATGCACTAATCAACATATTTTTAAAGGAACTTTGGGATCTGACTTATTCTTTGTTCAAGGTAGGGTAATAAAAATTTGAAAGTGGAATTTTAAGTACCATTTGGATAAACAACATTGCTGTCAAATCCCTCAGGTTCAAGCCATATTTGATGTTCTCTTCCTCCAAACCGTAAAACCTTTGATTCAATACTGGGACAATATCTAGGACCTGTGACCTCCTCAAACACATGACGGTTTAAATGTAGGTTCTTCTTTACTATATCTTCAATTGCTAGAGTGGTATTTGTAAGGTGGCAATCCAATTGATCTTCTGGCTAAAACCAAAAAAAGGAAAAATCATGTCAAAATTAAGAACAGAGTCACTACCTTCAACCACACTGAGTCATTCATAAATGAAAAGGGTAAGGGAGGATTATCACCTTTTTGGATTGTACAAACAGTATAATCAATAGTATCTTTTTTTAATCTTGGGGGAGTACCAGTCTTTAATCTGCCTATTTTTAAGTCCAAAGATTTTAAAGTATTGGCTAGTCCTGAAAATAATTGATAAGAGATGTCAAAGGATTTGAAACAATGAATTAACTTTACCTACAGCACTACGATCTCCAAGTCGGCCTGCAGGATAAATTTCCAAACCAATATTTATTCGACCTCTTAAAAATGTACCAGTGGTTATTACAACACAATCTGAGGTAATACAAGTGCCATCATCTTAAACATAGTAAATAATGACCTTCACTTTTCCTGATTTTCTTCTTGACTTACCCAATACTACCCCTTTACAATCAACTAGTGGCTGATTATTTGAGTTAGTTTGAGAATGTTTAACTAACAAATCTTCCACTGGAGCAAAAAGCACATGTAAGTTTTCAGTATTTTGAAAAAGTTCTTCCTGTACATTCTTCTTATATAAGTCCCTATCAATTTGTGCCCTGTAACCCCACACCGCAGGACCTTTTCTCTTGTTCAGAACCTGTAACCAAAACAAATAACAAAAATCAAAAAATTATGTTATGTGCGAGGTATCAAATCTACTACTGAATAAAAACATATACAGATCTATTCCTTGCCATTTATGCACAGTGTTCCATATGCTTCAGGCACCATGGAGATGAGATGGTATACATCAAAATACTAAGACTTGCAGTAAATATTAGATATTAAAATGATACACTTAACTTTCGAAAATTTTTATTAATTTTAAAACAAGTAAAGATATAAAAATCATTAACTGAAAAGATAGATAAGTAGACCAATAGAAATCATTATGCCATTACACATTTACTGAACCAGCCCAACAGGATATACCTACAATTTTAGTAATACAAAAAATAAGCTAAAAGCAAATTTTTTTAATAAAATAAAAACTGAATAATACGAAAACATCATGCATAGGAATAACAGTTATCAAAACATTCATGTGCAACAGTTTGCTTGTTTTATGTAAATGGACAAGATGTGTAATAGTAACCCTTTAGAGAGTGCAATTTCGATAAACCATATACCTCAAAGAATTTAAGATATCAATTCACCAAGTTTGTTTTTGATGTATGTTTGAGTATGAAGTAAAAAGATTTGGACTTTACAACTCATTTTGAATTAAATACTTTTATCTGTTACAAAAATATACTACTTTTTAAAAACTAAATTTAAGTTTCAACATCTTTCGAAGAACTAACATTTGCCACTCAATTTATTGTATTGTTGTATTTATTTATGGGAGAGACTCAAATAAAAAATAATTCATTTCCATAATACCTAGTAATAAATATAAAGTAAATATTAATATTATTACAAACAAGAATGAAACCTGGTTGTTACCTTATATTGTATACCCGATTTATCACACATTCTAGAGCATACTCCTCCAAGGGCATCTATTTCTCTCATTAAGTGCCCCTTACCTATCCCGCCAAATGAAGGATTGCATGACATTTCCCCTGCAAATTACCAACAATATTTGAATTATTGTATACTAATATTATTGAGTTCTGACCAACAGTATTCTTCTTGTGGGTTATAAGCAAGGTAACTGCTCCCATTCTGGCAGCAGCTGCACAAGCTTCAGTTCCCGCATGCCCTCCACCAATTACAATAACATCGTATTTCACGTTCTTACAAAATGATGTCAAACTCATTTTGGGGCTTTTTTGATAGACCCAGTTTTGACAATACAATTTTCGAAACGAATTCATTCTCAACTGCAACATTATTTGAGTATGTATATATACCAAAATAGATTTATTTCATAATCGCTAATTATTTAAGTTAAAAATATTTTGGTGGTCTAACTCTACATTAATACAAATCAATTCCCCAACATGATAAAAATTTCAGGTTAGAAAGTTTGCTTCTTCTTTTTTGCTTCCAATGGCCTAGGTAATTGGGTTTTGATTCTGTGGTGGAGCATTGCACGAGGCGGTTCAACCTCCGCTCGCTCTTAGCAGAATCCGTTGTATTCGTCCCAAAAACCTTGATATCGGTCTTTTTTCGTATGATTGTGTTTCGGAAGTGTTTGGTGATCGTTTTTATGTATTTAAGTTCTGGCGGCTCCGCTGTTTTGACCGTTGACGCCGGTATGTAGGTCGGATGGACCCGGATGGTCCACGGTGGAGCGGGGCAATGTAGATTTTTTTTAGTTATATTCTTCATTGTAAGTGTTAATCTATGATCAAAAAAAAAATTCCTCGATGGACGTCGGTAATGATCGAATGGTCATAGTAGTTTTGCCCAACTATTTGTAAAATGACGAAGAAAAAGAATCGAGCTTTGTTTACATCTAATCTATGCCAAATACGAAGATGGCGTCATGTTTTCCATATTAACAGTTCGATGGCACGGTTTTGATTTTGATTTCACTTATAAAAAAATTATGTTTTTATTAAGTATTATTGCCAAAATATTCCTTTTTTTGCCTATGAATCAAAACACCAGTCGGTCATAAAGGCTGCTTGTAAGCTATGGTATAGGACTTTTCTGTTGTATATGTGGATATATATATATATATATATATATATATATATATATATATATATATATATATATATATATATATATATATATATATATATATATATATATATATATATATATATATATTTATTTATCTATTTTTTAAAATACTTAAATTTCGACCAATATTAACTTAAATTCACTTTAGGTAGTGGAATGTTCAATTTTACCAATTTGATGACCTAAACAAAGGCAGTGGTTGTTGTGGAGCTGGTTGGCAAAATGAGTTCCTCAAATATATACTCTTCGGATTTGGACGAAGAAACAAGACAGAAAATAAAAGGTGATATGATAGGAGATTCTCTTTACAGTGAGTCATTTGTATTGAAAACTCTTCTTCAACTTTCGGATTTAAAATGGAATAACGAAATTGAAGAAGATTATTGTTTTTTATGGGACATGACCGCAGACACTGATGTGTGTAAATATCTTTTTAATTTGGAATTTCCAGCACTAGCATGTAGTGCCATAAGTAGAATTGATGAGCCTAGGTTTATAGAAATTATTATAGGTATGTTAGCTAATTTGCTTTGTGCAGAATGTGATAAAAATATAACAGAAGAGGAAATTAAAGTTGTTCTCAGAGAATTAGACACAGATGATAGTTTGGTTTTGATACAAGTGAATCGATTTATTGCTGCAGTAGCCCATTCATATGATACTTTGCCTTTTTTAACGACTACTGAAGTAGATAAACTAATCTTTATTCTTAACAACTCTGTAAATAAGGAATTAATTGAAAAAACTTTAGAAACTGTTTTAAAAATAACTGATAACTTTAAATTGGAACAAGGATTAGTAAATATTCAACTTTATAAATCTGTAATAACAGGATTGCAAACAATTCTTGATATTAGCAGTTCAGATTTTGAAGTTAATGACTGCAGTAAAACTTTAATAAGATTTTTCTTACAGATTGTTACGAATGTTTGTAGCTACACTAACAAATTTTCAGATGACAATTTAGTTTTAGCTATTTCCTCATGTGATATGTTTAATGAAGCTTCTAAAAAAGTCTTGGAATATCTTTCTAAAGAAGAGAATATCTTTCCACTTGATAATCAGTTAATATTTTACATCAAAGCACTTTCCTATATTTTTATTAGTGTGGATTTCTGTTTTGTAGACTCTATATTTATTTATTTTTGTAAAATATTATTCATGCTTCATGAATCAAAGGAGGATATGTTGGATGTTTACAAGGAAACAGTCGGAATAATTGGGTATTTTATTTTTGTAGGAAATCAAGAAGTAATTTTAAATGCTTTCAAAAAAATGTTATATTTGCAAGCAATTTTTGTATTAAATTCTTTAAAACAAAATGAAACTAAAATTGAAGGCAATATATCTGCGAAATTGAGGTATTTGTTTAAGGAATTTAAGTAAACTATCCTGTGATATACATTGGAATTTATTCCTTATAACATAAAAAACTACTTTCCTACTACAGTTCTTGAAAAAACTAGTTTGCATAGTGACTGTAAAACCTTGTGAAATTTGCTGCTACTGATATGAGAAAAATAGAAAATGAGTTTAGTTATTTAGAAACAAATTTTAGTTATTTCTCTTTATCGTTTAAAGAAATGATACAAAGTCACAAGTGAAGAGATTATTGTTCATTATTGAATAAAATATTTCTATAAAATTTTATAACACCTTTTATTACTATGTCTATTTTCATCCATTAATTTGTTTTTTCTACTCCCTTCGGTAAAATACCTAATTATACACCAGTATAGCGTGCGGAAAGCGTCACTTTACCACGTGAGTTTATTGTCCCACGGATTCGAGTCATTTCGCACGGGATTGGGAGCAATTGGATATTTTCGGAGATTATACCCCACGGCTTTAATTTTAACGTTTGTCAATTCTGATGTCAGTGAAGTACCCAAAAACTAAGGGTCGTAGAAAAAGTATAGTATGCAGCATGTTCGGTAAACGTCCCTGGTTTATTAAAAACTCCCTCCGCTAGTGCCAAATAAATTCGTGACTCAAATGCTGTTTTTCTATTCCCGCCTGCAAAATGCCTAATTACACACCGATCTAACGTGTTGGAAGCGGGAACGGATCTGAGCCACTTCGGACATTTTCGGGATTTTACCGCACGGGTTTGGGAGCAATCGGATGTTTTCGGAGATATTTCCCACCCCTTGAATTGTGACGTTTGTTAATTCTGACTGTCATGTCAGTGAATGTATTCGTGTTTTGCGAAAATGTAGCCAAAAACTAACGGTTGTAGAAAAAGTATAGTATGCAACCCGTACGGTAAACTTTTTAAGTTACTCGTTTATTAAACACTCGCTCCGCTTGTGTCAAATAAGTTCGTGAGTCACTTGTTGCATAATATACTAATTTTTCACTCACTGCGGTTTACACACCGATCTAGCGTGCGGGAACGTCACTACTGACATCAGCTTCGTTTCCAAGATCTCTCGTTTGCGACTGATCCGAGCCACTTTGGACTTTTCGGTGATTTTACCACGGGTTTGGGAGCAATCGGATTTTTTCGGAGATTTTACCGCACGGTTTGAATTTCGACGTTTGTCAATTCTGACGGTCATATTAGCGAATGTATTCGCTCCGTTAGTGCGAAAAATGTCGATCAAATACGTTTCCAAACTTCCAGTGTGTCTAGTATTGAAAGTATCGAAGTCATATTTTCTCAACCTAGCATGTTAGTTGTCTTTAAAATGCATTTAGTGCAAACAAGACTAATCCAATAAGAAAAAAAATCCTACGCAACTTTCTCGAGGTGGTTTTACAGTTCAGGACTGAGAAAGCCGTCAACGCGGCATAAAGCAAACTCGGTAACTTTACGGCGCTAGATCACAAAAATACAGTTCGAGACTCGCATGTCAGCAAGGTCACTATTTCCATGTTGTATATCTAATTACAACAAAGTCAATAACTCCGAAAATGAGCCGTTAAAAAAATAGTATACCCTGAAAAAGGACCAAAATATCTCGATCTGAGGTCGACAACTTTTTTAGTTTTTCTTACCACTGTTTTTGGCCGAATGATCCTTGCAATTTTGGCCAATAGCACTGCATTAATGTTATTTTGTTTTGGTAAGTTTAGTCATTTATACTTGAGTTATATGCCCTTTTGCTAAAAATTTTAAACACTTAGTACCATGAATCGTCATATTGCTTATAGAGATTGGAAAAATTTATTCGATGAAGGTATTTACAAAGTTTGGCAGGCCGAATCCACCGAGGAATTGAAAGCAATTTCCATGATGATCTTTAGCATTAAAAGGGAATTTAAAAGTAATATAGTATTTAATTGTTGAGTAGTTCCTATAGAATGTAAAAGTGTTTTAGAAGTAGCAGACGAGCTAGACTGTAGGCTTACACAGATTAAGAAACAAGTTGCTAATAAGTCCCTAGTACTGTAAGTGATCCAAAGGATTATTGCAATATTGTTAAAACTTAATTTTCAGGTCATCAAACACTTCTGTGATATGTAATGATAAAGGTATAATCTTCTAAGCTTTATAACTTTAACACAAACATCTTTAGTTAATATCTATCATTGCAGAGAATATCTTAAAAGAAACATGTCAAAATGAACCTCTGTCGATTCCAAGAGCAAATGTGGGTGAAAGCCCTGATATGTTTCACATCTGTGATAAATCTGACAATTCTGTAGTGATATCCGATGATGATGAGTATCATCAATCAAATAAGCTAGATAGCCCAGAAATAAAAAAATCGAAAAGAAGTAACCTTCATAAAAGAAGTCTAAAACTAGAAAAAACTGGCCCTTCTGAGTACTCCGTTAAACATTTTTCAAAACAGAAACAAAAAAAGCAAGTTGCTGCATTTACTTTGAGAAACTCCTCAGCAAAGGAGATGAGAGATTTTGACACTTCAGTTGTTGCTGCCACTCCTCCGGTTGCAAAAATTATTTCTAAACGTGGTATCAAAACTAATTCCTGCTTGCAAAAGAAAAAACAAGCCATGCAAAATAATTCTACATTAACGCAGATCTTTCTTTCCCACAAAAAAATTGAAATTCCTGATTTTAAAGAAAAAACGCAAGTTATAAATTAATTTGTAGTTTGTAGATATTATTTTTGATTAAGTAATTCGTTTTATAGGGTCAATTCGAATTTGGATGAAACCTATGTTGATCTGGATGGTAGTCATGACATAGGAATAACAAAGATGATCAGTTTGTTAAATAAGAATGAATCTTCGAAAGAACAAGTGGTTCACAGTATTGATTTTGGCATTGGTTTACCCTATAATCTACAAGGACAAGGAAATAGCAGGCCCATAAGCACACAAAAAGTTCAGGGAAAATCCATAGATGGTGCAGAAAAAAGTGGAATGCAAACATTTTTAAATTCCAAGGATATCAATGAATTTTTTGCCCAGGTTCAAGGGTAAGTTATTGTTATGACAAGTGCCATCTATTACTTATAATTTTAGCTAAATACCACTGGCTGGAAAAAAATTCACAGAAAATTTGGAGAACAATTCAGTCTTGCTTTGTTTGAATTTGATCTTTTTAAACAATTTTTTTAAAACTCAGATAAAATTTCCTTTATAAAAATTTTGTTTATTCTGCCATTTATAATAGATTTTGTAATTAATGAAACAAATTGTAATAGAGTGCCAGACCACCAGTTGGAGGCGGAGCCTATTGTTAGAGGAAAAGCAAGGCAAAATTTACCAGGATGGGCATGCAAAGAATGTGAAAAAGTTAATTCTATTTTTAGTACATTTGGCTGTTGTTTAATATTTTTGTTTTGTAGTTTTATTTACATCAGGATTTGAACAAAACAGAACTAATGGCTCTTAATAAATGTTCCAAACACCGAGGGCTGTACAGGCCACGAGAAGACACAATGCCAGGTATGTAACATAAAAAATTATATATGATTTTCATAAAAAAAGTTTTAGGATATTGGGATATGAACATGATTACACAGGAAGGTGACACAACATAATTTCTTTTACTTTGTATTTTGTTAATTGATAAAGTTTATTTTATATTACTTATTTATTATTTATTTTATGTTACTTATTTCTAAATTAAGGTCTAACTCAGCATCTTATCATAACAACTTTACACATCTTATTAAAGAATAATCAAGGTGTCTTTTGTTGTCTTTTCTGTTGTTTTATGTTTACAGATTTCCTCTTTTTGCTTGCTCTATTTCAATTGCTTGGAACAGAGCTTTAAAATTGCCAGCGCCAAACCCCTGAAAAAAATTTTTTTTTGTGAGTTCCAGGAGAAAATCTAGGCTTAAAATATAATATCCGTTAAATATAATTTTTTGAACACCATAATTGAAAATATTGTTAAATTGCATATCTTTTGAATTTATATTTGTCACAACCATTAAAACAGTCTTTTAAAATTGTGATAAGTAATGGAACTATTATAAAATCTTTAAAATTATCTTGAAGCTATTAAATTCTCTCCCTGCAGCAATATTTATTGTTTTGGCTCTACAATTTTTTTTAACCAATATAAAAAAAGGTAGCAGGAAAACCTTACGTTATGGTTTTTCCTTTGTATCACCTCGATGAACAGCGTTGGACGGTCCTGCATATTTTTCGTGAATATTTGCAGCAGATACCCGTTTTCATCATAATCGATGAGGATTTTTAATTCCTGCAAAATTTTCATATCTTCGTCGATCTTTACGCTATTGTCTTTGAGTTTTTCCTTTAGAATATCGTAATAACTGTCTGGCACTTCTAAAAACTCCAGCCCTCTTGCCTTCAGGTGTTTCACCTGAAATATAATTTCTGTTAATCACCGTTCGATCATAATTTTACTAGTTTTGCATCAGGTAACAAGTTTGGCATTTTTTTGGCATTGCGATTACCCCCGCTTCTATCGCAAAGTTTTGATTTTTTATGGGAAACGTTTTTATTTTTATTATAGAACAAAGTAAAGACGGTAGACGCAATGCAATCTCTACATGTATTTTTTCATGAAAATATGTATACTTCCAAATTGGAAAAAAATTGATAGATCAAATTTGCATTTTTACTGCAAAATAATTTAGAAATTGTTGCGTAAAAATTAGCGAAAACGTTTGTTTTCATTCACATAGGTTTAACATTGAAAGTTGAAACAATGATGGATTCAAGCAAGCGTCACTAGACTACTGAACAGTTTATTAAAAAAAGAAAAGTAGATGCGGCAATTTAAACAGCATAATCAAAAAGCGATTATTATTTCAAAAATATGCTAATAAACAACTTGTTCCAATGTATGAGAATTGACCAAAAAATCGTTTTAGAGAACAAAATTTCGTAATCATATTCGCATGGATTTTGAATTTCATTCTTCGAGAAGGGAGCGAGTCTTTATTATTACTGCATTAATAGCAAGCAATAAAACAAACAATCTAGGGTAGGGTAGAAGGGTAAATGTTCTTTTTCTTTTTGCTAGACTAACAATAGGACAAATTATTAACTTTTTATTTTGAGAACTTAAAATTATTAACTACTATTATTATTATTAAAGTATTTGCCCGGCGAAGTTACACTAAATTGACCAATAAAAATATAAATGTTAGTGTAACAAAAAATATCTTACTCCCCACGAAAGTACGTAATTAGACATTTCACATGTACAAGAATTTTCAAAATCAATTTTCGAGAATAAAGCGATTTTGTTTCGTTTATAGTATTAGTGAGTAATATTAGTTTTTTAATTGCGAAAAATAAAATGATTCAACTTTCTTATTGACCATTAACTTCAAACTTACAGCAGATATGATGTCTTGAGTGTTTAGCGCGATGTGTTGTACTCCTGCGCCACCGTAATAATCGACGTATTCCTGTATTTGACTTTTCTTCTTTCCTGGGGCGGGTTCATTTATTGGCAACTGTAACACAGATTTGCCTAAAAACGAATATATATATTTTTTGGATTTGGTTACCTTAACATTCTCTTCCCAGTTGCACATTACTATTGACCTTAACGCTGAATATTCCGTGTGGAGTTGAGAATCGTCGACTGACCAAAATCGATGGAACTGCAGTATCGTTTCGTACCATTTTGCTACAGACTCCATTTGACCATCTGGTTGATTTCCAACGACGTGGTCTATGAAGTCCAATTTTACCGGAGGTCTTTAACACATTACAATCGTAATAATTTTATTTTGACCAACGACCCCCTTAACCAAAAAAAAAAACTTGGGAAAGAAGAACGCCTGACTACAGAGCACGCCTTTCAAGAGAAAACGCGAATATTTGCTGGTGATATAAAAGCGAAATACAGTTCGACAGGGACAGAGTACAGTGCAGGTCACTAGTTCTCTATATTTGCAATACATTGCATATAATAGCCATCAGTATTTTAAAGTCACACGGCTACGTTCGAGACGTAAATGACGTCGCCTAATGTGGTATTGTGGGCTATATTTTAAAAAGTCAAATACGTTGTATTTCCGTGTAGTTTGAACTGAAAATACTTCTTAAACTTAGATTTATATTTTCCCGGCTGATCCTTGAAGTCATCACGAGTTCGTGACTAGACTAGACACTGCTGGTTTCACATGAACTGTAGCCATGACGACCTGCGATTTGAATCTTATAAATAAATAGGCGTCATATAAATTATTAGTAGTGTGTGCGTAATTAATACTAGTTCTTATATTCAGTATCTATTTTAGATTTGGATAACATAATAAGAACGTTGTCTTTTTATTTATCTCCAGGGTGAATTCAAAAATTCACATACTTAAAATAATATCACAATTTCTGCTATATTACTATAGCTACTTACTAATTTTTAATTAATGCATGTTCAGTATATCTGGAATCGGATTTTAAAAAATCTTTTAAATGAAATAAAATAATTAAATTATTTGTTTTAGTTTGTTGTACAACTTAAGTGTTTTACGAAATTGTACTGGAACCGGCCCAGGTAGTTTTATTGCATTCAATAAGCCAAAATCATTTACCTATGAAAGCGATGTATCTAGAACAGTTTTACTAAGAGATTGTCGAATTTCCATTATCTATGCGCCATTAAGTGCAGGCTCGGGTAGTGATACATCTGCCCGAAACGTCGTGTAAAGAAAAAATAAAAATAATGGAAGTTCAAACAAAATCTTAGTATTTCTACTGAATCGCTGTCTACCAGTTCCAAGCAAACGTTAGGAACGTTTTGTTTCTTTTGAAGAACATGTAAAAATCATCCAAGAGATCCGTTAATCACAAACTCAAATTATAAAAAAGAATACTTACAGTTGTTTGCCCAAAATATCTTCCGGAATGTGGACATATCCAGGTAAAAATAATCCATTGTAAAATGTTCTATCGACAAATGTGTGTACCGTATCACCGTACTACAATTTTAAAATCAGTTTTCAATACTACGATATTATATTCAGTGAATACTAACCGTTTGGATAGTAGCAAACCTTACTGTCCCATTAAAATCGGACTCTTCCCAAATATCACAAATAATTTTCGCGCCTTTCTCTTCAGCTCTCTAAATATAAAGATTATCCAATTTCTGAATCAAAAGTTTGAATAAAATGTACCTTAACTATTCCGTCCAAACATTTTACAGTAAATGCTATATCTTTCACTGCGTCTCCGTGTTTCACCAGATGTTCACTGAATTCGGTTTCGCTTGCTTCATAGGCAGATTTAAAAATGAATGTTATCTAGAAATGAAATACGTTTAATCAGTCAACAGAGGAATAGAGATTTATTTAGTTTTTTTAACTTCAAATGGAATGATCAATAAAATGCCAAATTAATAAAGAAACATTCAACTTTGAAGAAAATAAATCATATTCACAAACGAAAACTATATAGTCAGTTCACCAAATTGGCTATATATTCTTCAGCAATTTTTTTAAAGATTTAACAAAAGTGTACACATTTAAAATAACTACTAAACAAGTAACTTCTATATGTAATTTAATTTCGAGAGCATATTTCCGTATCAATTTTAAGTAGAACATATTTAATCAAATATTTGGTTTTCAAATTACAGCATATTACTATTTTAGAATATGCAAGTTACTACTTAAAATACAAAAAATCGAATCACTTCACTACGCGTACGTAATGAACATAAAAAACAGATAAAACAAATCAAGTTACCTTTGCTCATTTCTAGCAATATTTATTTTTCATTAGTTTTTAAAAAAACATTTTGAATCATTCAAAAGTGAAATAAATAGGCCCTCACCACCCTAAATCTTGAAAAGCAGGCATTGTAGAGAGTTTTATGGTCCACAAATAAATCTATTCACGTGCAAAATATAATACACACATCTACTTAAATTGGGTTTTATGTGTTATACAAAAATGAAGCGAGATACAAAAGATATATAGAAAAGTGTCATTTTTGGATGCGAAGAAGTCGCAGGGATTCCGTGCAATAGATTTTGACACCCCCTGGCTTAATTTTAGGACACAGATGTAATCATATCTACCCTGCACTTTATGAAACACTTTGAAAAACTTTTGTTTGTAGATATTTAACTGTCATTGGAATTGCCATGAAGAAAAATCCGTACAGTTGAAACCAAATTGTTGCAAAACATAATTAAAGTCAATCCAATTTTGCAATTAAGGTTCATTTCCCATAATTGTTAGAGATAAATAGGAAGAAAGTTTATTATGAATTTTATTTGGACTTATTATTGGAATTTATATGGTGTCTACTTTAACATCTTATTTTTTAGGTTAAAAAAATTGGTTTAAATTTATTTTAATCAAAAAGTTGGTACTAAGAATATACCGGAAATAATTTTGCAAATTTTAACCAAAAATAAGTATATATTACCTCGTTTTGGCGAACAACGTAAGAGGCGTATTTCCTTTCTCCTGTTTCCAAACCTTTGTACGCAATTGGCTGGAATCCCAACCGCGTAATGTAATATGTTGCAGCCTAAAATTAATTTCAAATGTCGTGCAGCGTTAAAGTGTTTTCTTGGACTTTTAATATTTGCTTAAATTTATATCTTATGCTACCTGGTATAAAATATATGTTTATATAAAGCACCCCTAAAATTAGACAGAATACACATTCTAAAGCGACTTTTTTTTAAATTCCATTCAGAAGTAGTTGCGGCATTTTGTCCTTATCCAAACAAGCTCTAGTGAACTGAGTGCTGAGTTGAAATGCATAAGTCATTTATATCTACTTTCCGCCATTGTAAATGGAAATGCGCAGATATATGTATTTTTTAAAGATTTTCGATATGATACAAAATTTAATATTTCGATTTTATGTTCTACTTCACTCAGGTTTGCAATTTGTATATTTGATATAAGTAAATAATAAGTTTAATTGTATATTATGTAACGGTTTTATCACCAAATTAGATTATAAATAGCACATTTTGGTGAATTCTGCAAAGAAGTTTATCAACATGTTGCGTACTATATTTTTTCTACGTTGGGGTACATTTTTGCAAAGCAGCGTGAATACCATCAAAGTTTTAAATTTACAGAAAATATCCTATCGCTAAAGAAGTTGACGTATTAGTGACACAATGAGTGCAAAATACGATATCACATGAATCATATCAATTGTCTGTATATGAATGCTTATTTAGTAGCTAATTCTTTAAATAAGAACCTTACAAAAACAGCAATATTCTCGATAAAGGATATTGTTAACAGTGAATTATTGGATGAAAGAAAAAAATGTTGTGGTTTTCGGTTTCAATATCCCATTTGGACAACAGTGAACAAGATATGATAAGAAGGACGTTATATTACGTTTATCGAAACCAGATTGCTTAAATGTGAGAACAGAAAATGTTACACTTTAAGTCCGAGTGTAATAAATTTAATTAAAATTAGTAAGGTCTTTTATGGCCGTCAAACACTGGTCGTTGAGGTTTGTCAATTCTGGCGGTTCTGTATGTCTAGAAAAAAATATCGCATGCAATACATTTATAAACTTCTTCAGAGCCACCTATATTAGACCCCTTCTACGCTGAAGTGTACCCAACTTTTATAGGTAAAACTTTATCTATTTTGTGGTAACGAAAAAAAAAAACGCAAAGTGGTTGAAAAATAAAGAATAAAATATAGAACTGTATGCCGTAACATCACAGGAATGTATTTAGTTCTAACTTGTTTATGTCTAAAATAGTAAGGGGGAAAATATCTCGATTCTCATAAACGTTTAAACGCAAAATTACCTGTTTAGCGTTTCCGACGTAGAAGGTGAGATGATCAAATGCTAAAAATTTTCCGTTAACAGGCTAAAAGGACAAATTAGTTCGAAAACATTCGCTTAGATATTTTTTGTTTTTAAACCCTTACCCTTCTCCCTTTATCGGTGTATGAGGTCTGAAACAAGTAAAAAAATAGTCGACATAGTATTGCAGTATTCAGTATGATCGGGTGTTGTTAAAGTCAGTAGAGCTTAGGTGAACAATTAGTACGCAGATTTCGATAAAATGACATATATGGGACATGTTATGGAATTAGTAGTTCAAAACAATTAACACAATAATAATGCTGACCTCATAATTAGAAACATAAGATATTAAAATAATTCATTGCACTTATAAAAAACGAAATGGAATATAATCGAAAACTTTTAAACGGACCGAAATTGTTGAGCGCGACAGTTTTAATTTAACTTTTTTGTAGAACCTTATTTTAACGTTCAGTCCATATGGGAGTATACAGAAGTAGAAGTATTTATAGCATCGTCTTACCATTGTCACTAAGACCTTTCACACAAAACTTCTGAATCAAATTTTTGCGTTGCTGGTTTTTATAGACTCCGGGCTCTGATAAACAGCTCTTTCTCGAAGCTGTTAATTTATGCAAAACATATCAAGGACAGCTGGGATTTTTGCATATATGTATTTATCTATGCGATTTAATAAATTATTTCAAACGTACTTATTGGGGAGATTTTGTAAATACAAACATGTTCAAAACACTCTTTCGGCGTAGTTGTAATAGTGCATTTAAATTTCCATTTATTTCGCTACTTTAATTCTTGTTAATTCGTGTTCATACAGCTTGATTCAATACATTACCTCAAAAATTAGGGTTATTATTATTATTAAGGTGAAATGGTTTTTTCTACTCCTTACCTCTAGTGTATCCAATATATGTACTGATTAGGACTGCGCAGTTAAAAAACTGCCGCGAATCACTTCAAAAATTTCGGGTCCTTTAGTCGCGCGAAAGATTGGATGTTTTCGGTAGATTTTAAATACTGATAGCACTTTGATGCTTGGCGGTTCTGGCGGTCACGTCACATGTCACTCAGTCAAGGTATTGCACTTGTTTACTAAAGCATCAAGCCTCTTGTGCTAAAACACCCTCGTGACTAAAGTGTCGTTTATCAAACTTGTTGCATCATAGACTATCAATGTACAGCTTTTTTTTCAGGATCCATTCGAGATTGTTCATAACGGAACTAAATTTATAATATTTTATACGCGATTCATTTCCACACACGTTAGAAGAAGAAGCAATATTTTGTAAATATTGCATCAGACAGTCCGCGACTGAATGAAAATTTTTGCCACGCCAGTTTACTACTAATACTATAGACGTTGTCTGATGCAATCTTTAAATGGGCTGAGAAGTCAACGTTCTCATAAAATAGATTTTCGTGCGGCTTTGCTTTCCACGATTTCGATTGTTTTCGATATCATATTTTAGAAAATTAAACTTGGGTATTTATAATTATTTTTTTCTAAAATTTAGTCATACTAAAATATGATAAAAAAAGCTAGGTATATATGATTATTCAGTGTTCAATAGTACGAAAAATCTCAGTTTTAAAAGAGAAACCGATTGTACATCTTCACATCTAAAAATTGACTTGACTTTATAATTTCTAAATGCCAATAATATCGTGTATTGGAATATGAAAAAATATATAGGAAGTTCTATTAAAAAAAATATTTTCCCATTGCCACGTTTTTAGAAAACACCATGTATAATTCAATATATCATGCCATGGTATGCAAAAAATTTTCAAAATTGTGATAAATATATATTTGAATTTGTCACACTATTGAGTGACCCTGTATGTCTATTTAAATACAACCTCGATGGAAAAAACGTAAAGTAATAATTTTTTACAATAATTAATTTCAGAACTTTTAACAAAATAACATTTAAATAATTTCAACATTATCATCATGTAAGACAAAAATTATGGAGCAACCAACTTTAAACGTGTCTCTTGGTCGCTTCTGAATACATTTATAGACGCGATAAGCTGTACTAAAGTTACCACAATACTAAGCTAATATTAGGGTAAAGTTAGTTAGTAATCGGATGTCAGTATTTGGTCCAGTGTCCTTTATTTGCAATAACCTGCAACCATCTTTCTGGCATCTATGAGATCAGATTTAAAATTGTTTCATCATCTATAAACTTTCAAATATTTTGGATTTCTTACTATAATTGATCCTTATATTTTTTTAGTGCGATTTTTTTTTCAACGATCTCGTATAGGTTCTCTATCGGATAAAAATTCGGTAAATACACTGGAAATTTTAATATCGTAACATTGTTTATGAAAAACGATTCTTTAATTATTTTGCAGTGTGTTTAGGGTCATTATTGTGCTGGAATATATGCTATAAAGCCATTCCCTACCCGGCATATGGCAGCATAACCTCTTCTATTATTATTGGATGGTTCTCGGAGACACATTTTCTGCACCCAATTCTGCTAAAATCTCACTTGCAGATAACCGTGGACAGCTGTCACTAATTATTTTAATTCTCCGATCTTCTTGATTCGTAGTTTTTCTTTTTCTTCCCCCTAGCTTGAAGTTTATAACTCTTCTACGGAGCCGAAAAATTTGCATAATATTTAAAACAAAGTGAATTGTGCTTATATTGTTTTTTGTTGTATTCTAGCTAATAATATATGTATGCCACGAGGCGTCTTGCACTATTAGGCTATACAGAAAAACATTATCTTTAATGAGCGAACAAGAAAATAAACCAGTCGTTTTAATTTTGTCGCAGAAAATTGATGTTAAGCCCAAGAAGGATCCACATTTAAAAAAAAATCATATACGCAAACAAAAAATATGTTTGCAAGTCAATAGTAAATTAACAAATTTTAAGCAGTCGCTCGAATTGTGTCAGATACTGGATACCAACGTCAATGTTAACAAATGTTTAAAAGGGATTTCAATTACCTGCGGCGTTCGACAATATAAGTATACAATATGTAATATGTATTAAATAAACAGTTTCTATAACGCGTCTGTCCCATCTTCATTGTCAAAATTGACGGCTAGTGGATTTTTTTTTCATGGGGGCAGAGTTCAGCATTTGTTTTAGGTAATTAGCATTGGCAATTTCAGACAAATGTGTAAACTCGCTGGACTCGTTAAAAATCATGTTTTACACTTCCAAATCTAACCGCGAGATGGTCGAAAAGTGTTTAATCATTTGGTAATACATATTTGACAATAATCAAATTGCTAGCGATTTACGCCGAAGCCCCCACTAGAATCGATATATATATATTTCATAAACAGAATGGCATTTTGTTATTTTCATTCCCATTTATTATCCAACGTAAATTAATTATCAGGCGACGCAATTTTTATTTGCGTCGGGTAAACAAATCAATATGTATAGATACGCCACTTTTTCACTCGGTGGAAGGTGTGCTTTCTTTGTTTTAAATTGTGGAATATTGTAAAATACCTGGAGGGTCACTACCGTGAGAATTATTTAAACTCACAAAATTTATATATATATATATATATATATATATATATATATATATATATATATATATATATATATATATTCTCACGTATTGATTCACGGATGGAAAAATGTGATGACACACGAGTGTTCGAAGTGTTTTCGGAGCGCGAGCATTGAAGATGCCAAGTGAGATTTTGGCGAAACGCCTGCAGGATTCCAGTCGGATGCAAGATTTGCAGGATTCCAGTCGGATGCAGGATTCCAGTCGGAGTTCAACGAGCGAACGGATGATATCCCGGAATATAGTGTCATCATATATATATATAAATATATATATATATATATATATATATATATATATATATATATATATATATATATATATATATATATATATATATATATATATATATATATATATATATATATATATATATATATATATATATATATATATATATATATATATATATATATATATATATATATATATATATATATATATATATATATATATATATATATATATATATATATATATATATATATATATATATATATAAACTGTCGAAACTGAGCTTTTGTTAAAGAATGTGCTGAGTTATGATTAGATATATCAAACAAATTCTCAAGGCGGTTTTTAAATGTATGCTCCGTAATTTTTTGTTTCTGAGTTTTGGTTTTTTTATATATTTTTTAAAGTTCCCACTTTTGATAAGCTTTCATGATTTTAGTAATAGCGTTACATGGTTGACAGACCGGAATACCAGTAGGTTTCCAAACTTTGATAACATCACGAATCACTTCGTGAAAACACTGTGGAATTGTGAGGTTAGAATCTGTATGCTTGTAGAAAAATAATTGTAAAACTTTTCGTATACTCGGTTATTTTTCTTTTACTTAATCTTCTACATGAAAAACCAAACAAATAAATTTTCTTTTCAGCCATTTTACTGATAATAATTCAAATTACTGAGAGCTTTAAAGAATGACAATCCACAATAATTTCTTAATATATGTGTTGCAGACACTGATAATTTGACAACCGTATGATCTAATAGTGCTCCCACCTTCACGACGTACTGACAACCATTTTAAATTTTGAAATCCATAAAAATAAAACACTGACTATTAATTAGAACAAAAAGTTTGAGAAATTATGTAAGTAAAAAAGTATTACAAGCTTTTCTGAAAAGTTCAAAATTTAGTAATTTTTAAATGGCTGTAATTAATGTTCTTTTAATGATAATCATACTTTGTTATACGGTTTTGGAAAGCTTATAGACTCAACTTTAACAATATAAATTGTTTTTTTTTTGTAAAAAATCACGAACATTATACGTAAATTTAATTTTAGTGAAAAAATAATTTTTCCCATGTTAATTAAATCTGAAACTACAATAAAAACAGCGACCCCTTAGAGTTGAGCTGCAGGGCTCATCTTTGGTAAGGATTTTTTTTATATCAAAAAGAAACATTTGAGAGGGTAAGAGCTAAAAAAAAAATTAATTTTTTTTGAAGAACCAAATATATAAAATATATAAATATTGATTTTTCGTTTTGGAATATAATTGTTGTAGGGACACATCTTACAGGAAAATATTCTAGATTGGGATATCATTATTTTCTGGGCACGACGATAAAAAACAATAATCTCTTTGCAATATTCAAGATAGTAAATTAAGTAAACCAGTGTCGTAAGTAACCGGTCTGCGTTGGACGAGGTTTGTATGTAAATACCAACAAGTTTTAAAAGATTTTATGGGAGTTTTATGTTAACGGAAATATTATTATTAGCTTTTTCCGTTTGAGGACCCATGCCAGCATCCAGTTAAAAAATTTTGGTAAAAGCTTAAGCCTGTTAAGTAACCATTTTGTATTTTTGCGGATCAGGCCTTCATTCTTTTTTCAAATATTACAGTGTCTACTTTCTGATTTGTTTGTTACAGATCATAGGTGACAAAAAAAATGAAATTGTTCACCATGTTAAACAAGGAAATTACGATCTGTTCAATTAAAATATAAAAATAGCAATAACTTCTCACTGGGAACAAATTCTTTTTGTACAAGTCTTGTATTTGTTAAATCGTTTTAACTGCTTGCTCCTAATTA